AATAGTCGACCAAACTTCCTGTACGCCATTTAGATTTCCTTTTAAAAAAACAACTTTTTCAAACTCCTAGAATGTTTGTCCGAATTTCACCTAATTCGATTCACATCATCTTTAGACCATGCCGGCAAAGTGTCACCATTCTTGGTCGAGTTACACTACTCGTGTAACTGTATTTAAATAGGGAAAACGTGGAGGTGTTTGGTCGCTTCTCTGCTTGGATCCTAATGAATGAACTGGGCTAAGCTAAGTGCTATCAAAGTGTCTCCGAGCGCCAGAGCGATTGAGCGCAGACGAGAGAGGTGTGTATCAGCTCGTCTTAGTTAAGGGAATAACATAGTTTAATATGAAAAAACGGTGGAGTATCCCTTTAAGACTATCAAAATACACATTCTCTTTATATAAATAAATTGTTACACCTTTTTGTGAAGTAAACTGGCTGTACTGTAAAGCTCAAATTCCACGGGGTCAAAAACTGACCCAGGAATATGAAAAGTTTTTGGTAACGCTTCCTTTTACAGTCCTGTTACCCATGCACTTACTATGTACTTATTATAGTAATTACAATTACTGGGTAATAACTAGGCACTAACCCTGAACCTACCCCTAAACCTACCCCTAACCCATGTACTTACCTTATATTAGCCAGTACTTTAGGTAAGTACACTGTAAGTACTGTACTGTAAAAGGAAGCGTTACCGAGTTTTTAAATACAGTAGGTTAAATAGTTGTACATCAGTGGGGGAAAAATTACAATGCAACATTTTCTTTTTTGAATATATATATATATAGGTTGTGTTTTTACCATGTCTTTAATTGTCTCCGTTACACTGACTGAAATGGCAGCTTTATGTAGTTTATAAACCCATATACATTATGTGTCAACAATCTGTGTTTAACACACCTTAAAAAGCCGTCGTGTTGTGGAGATTCACGGAGATGTGTGTTTTCTTGACAGCTCCTCAATCATCCGTAGTCGTCTCTCTCTCGTTCATGCCGTTTTAGGGGGTCTTGCAGAGATCGGAGAGGCGGACGAACACCTCGTCCACAGCTGGACGTGTGTGTGTGTGTGTGCACCTGTTCTCCAGCACACCTGCTGTCCCTGCAGGCCTCGCAGAGGAGTAGACCAGCCCTGGGTGATCTCCACATGTGACAGAACCAAGTGAAGTGTGACTTCCTCGCCCAAACGCACCTCTGAGTGGCGGAGAGAGAGAGAGAGAGTCTCTGAAGAACGGCAAGCTATTTTTATCTGCCGATCTGCTGTCGGCCATGCATGTATGCATGAAGACGTCCCCGCAGCGGCCTGTACGTGACATAATGTATGGTGTCGTGTCACATGTACTCTCCTGATACAGTCAGGAGTGTTAACTAGGGCTGAGCCCAAGCATAGTGTTTCCTTTACCAGTAGCCGTTCTGAAGCAGGATTATGCGTCTTTATGTTGTCACGGCTCTGCTGAAGACCAGACTGAAAATCTTTATCTAATCTCCTTTTTGAAAGCTTTTAACTCTGTGTTTGTCCTAAAGTCTAAGTAACAGTAACATAGTGATTGTCCCTCGTTCACCTTGGAGAAGATCCTTAGGTCTTTTGTGTCGTTTTGTGCTTGTCATCTCAAAATCTGTTCAATTGAATCCCACTGAGAGCGAAATGATTGACTCAAACTTTGGTTGCTGAAACCGTTTGGGACTGTTCTGTGCTGTGTACTGGTTAATTTATTGTTGCCAAGGCAACACTCACTCTGGAAAGATGAGAATCACTTTTTCAATCCATCATACATCCAATTGCTCAGTGGACATGTGTGGGCATCAACCTCTGTGGAATTTTTTATATTTTTTTATTATATATATTTCTGCATAGAGAAATGATTTTCTTGACATAAGCACATTTTCCTCCAAAATTGTCATTACCGTAATGCAAAAAGATGTATACTACTTAAAGTGAATGTACAACATTTTTTATTTATTTACATTTTCATTTGCATAAAGGCAGTGTAACAAATATCACCATGATGTATACATATTTTAATGAAAAAAGTAGGCTTTACAATTTAAAACATACAAGAAAATATTTTATATATATATTTATATATAAATACTTTTTTGCTCACCAACCACTGTGGCTAGTGGTTTTCCAAAGTTACTAGCCACTCAGCATTTTCATTTGCCACAATTTTAACATTGATACCATGGGAAAAAAACTCCCATATAGATATTTTTAATATTATCTCTTAATTTGGCAGCCGGTATATTATGCTGCTGTCACTTTAAGACCTGTCGCACAGATCCATTATACAGTTACACGGTTTTTTTTTCTCTCAAATGTTTACGTTCACTTAAAACATAACTGCGTGCGTTTACATGAATACTCACAATGCCCAGCATTTTGACATTATTTTTTGTGTATTTGACACTTTACAAGCGGAATAAGCAGTAAAAAATAACTAAATTTAGTACTGAGAGGCGGCTTTATGTGCGCACTATGGGTGTGAGGACAAAATCTGCGGGAATGAGTAAAATTATGCGCAATACGCACAATCCCACGCCGAAATCCAAGCCCTGTAACACCAACAATAGTCATCCTGAGCAAAAGAAATGAGTGAGAGAGGAGAGCTGGGTTTGTGTGTCACTCGCTGTTGGAGAGATAGAGCGAGAAAGTGCAGCTGGTATCGTGTATTCTGCTGAAAATTAGTATTGGAAGCGTTTCAGATATTTTAGTATCGATATGTATAGAAAAATCGATACTTTTGACAACACTACATTGCAAAGAGCGCCTGGATGGCGAAATCGCTCCAAACTCGGGTTGTTTATAGGTCGCGGGGCTCTTAAAGCAACACTAAGTAAGATTTTTTACCTTAAAATAATGTTTCCAAAATGGTTTCAGTGGTTCATCAAGTCGTAACAGGGTGAAAGGCACTTCTGGATTCGCTTTGCGGTCCTATATCTGCTATAACCACGCTATGTAAGATTGCCAGATCGGGTCGAGTTTCTGTAGTTCTAATGAGACATAAGAAAACTACAAATTTGACTCGTCAAGCGTTACAAAAGTCATTATTTTGTTTTTCTTCATTTCTGATGTCGCAATACATCATACTTTCATGAAATCATGCAACATACTCTACCTTGTCTGTGGACATCGTTCATTGCAAAGCCGGTGCTGGATAAACAACGAGCGTGCGTGCGACAGTCGGCTGCGCTAGGCTAAATTATTTACGACAACGCTAATGGACAATTCCACTTCCAACCAGTAGGGCGACCGCAGAGGAAAAGTCACTTGGTGTTGCTTTAAATAGAAAATCCCGTCTCATGTCTGACTACTTGGGTTTTGCACTTATCCGTTATGCTAAATTTGTTTGGAAAATACTAGGAATAATGTGTTTTGTGAACATCTCCTCAACTTTCTGTGTGAATGTTTTGTGAAGTTCTCCTCAACCTTGATTAGTTCGCCTCAAAACATGTTATTACCAGCATGCGTCAGTCTGTCCACATGTTACCCAGTGGCCCTGTGACTTCTCCATGTGAGAGAAGAGGCCGTTGTGTGCGCTTATCACTGCTAAACGGCCTTTCTCTTGTGTGAACGGCCTCCTCTGTCCTCTCATGGCTCTGTCTGCGTGTGACTGCGCTGGTAATTGTGTTTATTGAGACGTCGGCGCCTCATGGCAGAGAGGAAGAGGGTGGAGAAGAGAGACGGGGGGGGGTGTCTCATGCTCTTGTGATCGGGGCGTATGACTGAGGAAAGCAGCAGCGGTGACTACATGCTTGGGTTGCTGGTAAACAGCAGGAGTATAGAGAGAGAGAGAGACAGGATTGAGGGGAGACAGAGCCACTGGCGGCCCCCGGAGGGAGAGACATGTTGAAATTCTGCACCACCCCTCGCTCAAGGTGTGTAGTTTTCTGAGTGTGTGTGTTTATTCAGGAGGATGTTGCTGAGGAGATTTTTGGGTAGATGTCATCTGGTGAGTTTTCATCTGGGTTACATCATATTTGACAAAGACCTCTAAAGGTAGACTGGTTTTACATGGGTTCTTACTGGTCAAAGCTGGTTTAGGTGGACGATCAGCTGGAGGAGCTGACGCTTATCCTGGTGGACCATTTGCTCAATCTAGTTGGGTTATAGTTTGAGTTATAATTATAACTATTTACATGTATTCATTTAGCAGATGCTTGTATCCAAAGTGACTTGCAACTGAGCAAAACAACAAGCAATTCATATATATAATACATTGTGTATATATATAATTTCATAAAATATATTTTTTACATTTCTATTTATAATTGTCTTTTAATTACAGTATGAATCATTTATCACATTTATTTTTTATAATATTTTTATTCCTGTTTTTGATCACAATATAATAATTTTTATCGTGTTTATATATATATATATATATATATATATATATATATATATATATATAATTTATATTTTATATAAATAATTGTATTTATTTAAAATAAAAATGGATATCACAGTATTAATAATTTTTTAACGATAAATACTTGAATTCCAAATGTATTACATATACGTGTATATCAGTTTATTTTTATAATTTTTTAATCACAGTATAATACACATTTATCACATTTTTGGGGGGTATTTTATTTATTTTTTAATTAATTAATTAAATATTTTTATCTATGTTTTAAACTTCAGGGTGTAAACCAAAAATACTAGTTGCCAATATTTACTCATAATGACACCTAAGTTTTTAAGATACATTTTGACTTTGCTTAAACAACCTTCATGTGTCTACCAGTTGCTTTGCAAAATAAATAAATAAATACAGATAAGCAGATTGAAAAATGCAGTTTTCATACCATACCATAATTTTCTCCGCCCTGATAGCAACATTCAGACGGTAATCTTTCCTAGCAAGACAGCATGTAAATCACATTGCTAGATCAATAATTTCAATTATCAAAACGGCTCCTTATCGAGTGTCAAAGTGTGAACATCAGTCTTTCACGTCTCTAATTCCCACAATTTCTGTTTCTTTTCTCTCCTACAGTCACAATGAGCGAAAGGTGACCTGCAAGCATCCCGTCACAGGCGTTCCCTCGCAAGACAACTGCATCTTTGTCGTCAACGAACAGTGAGTCACTTCTTTCTCTCCCTCCACTGGCTCTTCACGGTTTCCTGCGGCATTGAGTCAGAAACAGAGCGCTTTGTCTGAAGTTCACACAACAATCACATTCATCATGTTGGATAATGTACTCCTCTACTGTTGTATCACCGAGGAGAAGGACGTTCATTTAGTTGAATGTTGGTTAATTGGAGGTATAAAGAATTATGGAAATGAGAAAAAGTACTAAATTCACATTTGAGACATATTAAAGGATTAGTTCACTTTAAAAAAAACTTTTGCTGATAATTTACTCACCCCCATGTCATTCAAGATGTCCATGTCTTTCTTTCTTCAGTCGAAAAGAAATTAAGGTTTTTGATGAAAACATTCCAGGATTTTTCTCCATATAATGGACTTTGCTGGGCACCAAACGGTTCAAGGTCCAAAAGACAGTTTCAGTGCAAACTGCAAACTGTTCAAAGGGCTTTAAACGATTCCAGACGATGAATAAGGGTCTTATCAAGCGAAACGATCGCTCATTTAAAAAAGAAATAACAAAGTTTAAGTTTTATAAGCTCACATGCTCGCCTTGCTCTGTTCTGTGTGAGTCTCCTGTTCGAACTCGTTCATCAAAATGAACAAATCTTTTTACGAGTCATTTGATTCATTTAACGACCGAAATCAACGAAATGAACGGAAAAAGATTTGTTCATTTTGATGAACGAGTTCGAACAGGAGAGTCACACAGAACAGAGCGATGCGAGCATGTGAGCTTATAAAACTTAAACTTTGTTTTTTTGTTTTTTTAAATGAGCGATCGTTTCGCTTGATAAGACCCTTATTCATCGTCTGCTGTCGTTTAAAGCCCTTTGAACAGTTTGCAGTTTGCACTGAAACTGTCTTTTGGACCTTGAACCGTTTGGTGCCCAGCAAAGTCCATTATATGGAGAAAAATCCTGGAATGTTTTCATCAAAAACCTTAATTTCTTTTCGACTGAAGAAAGAAAGACATGGACATCTTGGATGACATGGGGGTGAGTAAATTATCAGCAAAAGTTTTTTTATAAGTGAACTAATCCTTTAAGGGCGCTTTCACACTAGCACTTTTGGTGCGCACACAGGTTCGAATGACGTCAGAGTTCGGTTCGTTTGGATGAGTTGAACGCGCACCCGCGAACCGTACTCGAGTCCGCTTAAAAAGGCTGGTCTGGGGTACGGATCATGTGAACTCCAGTACGGCTCGCTGCTGATATGAACGCAATCGTACCAAATCGCGGAAGTGAACCGCTATTGATGGCGTATAATGTGGTCGAGAGGACAGTCGTCAGTGCGTGTGTGTGTGTGTGTGTTTGTGAGTGTGTATACACTTACCCTGACGAAAAGCAGGATTGACGCACTGCAAGCAGAGAGATGATTTATGCCTGCCTCCGCAAAAATTGTCTTCGGCACGATTTTAGTACTTTTGCGGCAGACAGACGCAAGTGTGTTTCTGTATCTATTCTTTGAAAACAAAACAAAAGGTTAAAAAAAAAGAAGAACAAATGTGAAGCGAGCAATTCTTTCCATTTTGACGCCTTTTCATTCATAGCGGCACCGGTTAACAAGCAACATGATTACGTGCGAACCAAGTGTGAAAGCGCCCTAAGTTACTCAGGATAAAAAGGCATTATTATATTCCATTAGTCTGCTGATGCGTACATGTTGATTGAATCACATACAAATATGCCCAGAATAAAGTGCGTGTATGTGTGCAAAAGTATAGGCACATTTTTTTGTGGTAAAACCTTTACGGTTTTTATGAGATTCATCCAAAAGCATTGCTTTTCTCAGGCCGTCTGCTAATGGATACCAGTGTTACTTTTTGTGTGTGGTTTAAAAGAATGAGCCACTAAATAGTCAACACACCCCCACATTTTCACACAAAGCCACTACCAATTAACAGGCCAGCAATTAATGAAGAGCTGAGAAAATGATTATGTCCATCCGGGGTGGTGTTTAGGCCGACTGGAGCCGACAGGTAGTGAAGTCACGGCTTTAGTCTGGGGGAAATGCAGTGGGAGTGTCCTCCTCCTCCTCCTCTTCTTCACAGCTCACCTCTCCTGTCCAACGCGAGCTGCTCTCCTGATAATTGTGTTCAGCCGAATGCCCTCAAACCACTGGGAGAACGAGCTGAGAGCCTTAGCGCTGTCAAACACATCTCTAGTCTTTATCTTGCTCTCTTTCTCTTTTCTTCTTCCTTCTCATCTCTCTCCTGCGTCCTCTAGCAAAGTCAACAACTTCCCTCCGCCGCCGATTATCCAGCATACGCCACAGAACGACGGGTTTAATCTCTGTAGTCTCCATTCGCAGATACCAACTAAACGCTGCCGTAGATAAACTTCAAATCCTCTCGCTCTGAAGAGATGATGGCAGAGACTGAATCTCTGAAACGAAAGAGAAAGAAACGTTTGTGCAGCAGAGCGAGATGCAAAACTGGTGAAGACGTACGGCACAATGTTCACTCTTGTGTTGTTTCAAACCCGTTTGACTTTCTTTGGTCTGTGGAACACAAAAGCAGATGTTTCTGCTCCTTTTTCATACAACAGACATCTACAACCTCAAAACATCAGAAGAAATGACAAAAAAGCACAATGAAAGTAGTCCGTATGCACGTTGTTATTGTTAACTAAAACGTAATCTAAACCTATTAAAAAATATTTTTGTCAATTGAAACAATGCTGAAATTTTTGACAAATTAAATGCATTAATTATTAGATGAAAAAAGAAATGTAAAAATTTGAATTTTGAAAATCTGAAATGCATACATTAAAATAAGTTAAAGCTAATTAAAATATAAAAAACTACATTCATATTTAAAAACGAAGTATGTAATGTTAATTAATATTCATTTAATTAAATTAAATAATAAAATTAATATTAAAGAAACTAATACAAATGACAATAATATTCAAAATAAAATAAATACTTAATAACATTACAATGAATATCATAATAATAATACAAATAATAGTATGTAAATGGTCCTAAAATAATCAGTATCAATAAGTCTCAACTAGTCATGCACTCTACTTTTATATCCATTTATTTCCAGGGTAACACTTTACAATAAGGTTTCATTACTTAACATTAGTTAACTACTTTAGTAAGCATGAATTAAAGAATGAACAATACTTCTACAGCATTTATTAATCTTTATTGGTGTTAATATCAACATTTACTAATGCATTATTAACATCAAAAGTTGTATTTGTTAACATTAGCTAATGCACTGTTAACTATGTGAACAAACAATGAACGACTGTATTTTTTATTAACTAACATTAACAAAAACTGTAACAAATGTTTTGCTCAATGTAATTCATGTTAGTTAATACATTGAAACCTTATTGTAAAGTGTTACCAATTTTCGGTGTTTGAAGGGGAAGCATGAACGTTTCACGAAACATCTCCTTTTGTTTTCTATGGAGGAAAGAACATCATACAGGTTTGAAACAACATGATGGTGAGTGAATGATGATAGCACTTTCATTCTGGGGTGATTTATTCCTTTAGTAAGTTGTATCTTGTCTTGTTTTTAGTGTTTTTCAGAGTAGAGTGAACTCTAGCACTGCAAACTAATGAGAGAAGTTAGTGCCTGCTTCTGCTTTGCTGCTGATTGCAGGATCCGTTTTCTACCTGTTTCAATTATCACCTCCATCTTGCTTTTTTAGTCGATGCTAATGAGATTTACACTTATTTTTGCCCAGAGCGGTTTTCGACAACGTGATAAAGTCACACTTTAAGGTGTGTGTGCGTTTGTGAAATCTCAGAGCAGAGAAAACGATATGATGCTCACGCAAGTCTTCACTCCGAGACCTTGCTCTTGCTTTGCGGTTACTGCAAAATACCGTAGAGTTGCTTGCAACAAGATTTTGAGAGAAAGTTGTTGCCGTTTTTGCAATAAAAATCAGAAAAGTGTAAAAAAAAAAAAAAAAATCAGTAGAAAGTAAGAGTTGTTTTAGGTATGCTAATGAGTGTTTCAATCACATGTTGTAGACCAATCACAACGGACTGGGTCATCTGACCAATCAGGGCAGAGTAGACCAATCACAACAGACTGGGTCATCTGACCAATCAGAGCAGAGTAGACCAATCACAACAGACTGAGCCATCTGACCAATCAGAGCAGAGTAGACCAATCACAACAGACTGGGTCATCTGACCAATCCGACCAGAGTAGACCAATCACAACAGACTGGGCCATCTGACCAATCAGAGCAGAGTAGACCAATCACAACAGACTGGGTCATCTGACCAATCCGACCAGAGTAGACCAATCACAACAGACTGGGTCATCTGACCAATCCTAGCAGAGTAGACCAATCACAACAGACTGGGTCATCTGACCAATCCGACCAGAGTAGACCAATCACAACAGACTGGGTCATCTGACCAATCAGGGCAGAGTAGACCAATCACAACAGACTGGGTCATCTGACCAATCCTAGCAGAGTAGACCAATCACAACAGACTGGGCCATCTGACCAATCAGAGCAGAGTAGACCAATCACAACAGACTGAGCCATCTGACCAATCAAAGCAGAGTAGACCAATCACAACAGACTGGGTCATCTGACCAATCAGGGCAGAGTAGACCAATCACAACAGACTGGGCTATCTGACCAATCAGAGCAGAGTAGACCAATCACAACAGACTGGGCCATCTGACCAATCAGAGCAGAGTAGACCAATCACAACAGACTGGGTCATCTGACCAATCCGACCAGAGTAGACCAATCACAACAGACTGGGTCATCTGACCAATCCTAGCAGAGTAGACCAATCACAACAGACTGGGTCATCTGACCAATCCTAGCAGAGTAGACCAATCACAACAGACTGGGTCATCTGACCAATCCGACCAGAGTAGACCAATCACAACAGACTGGGTCATCTGACCAATCAGGGCAGAGTAGACCAATCACAACAGACTGGGTCATCTGACCAATCCTAGCAGAGTAGACCAATCACAACAGACTGGGCCATCTGACCAATCAGAGCAGAGTAGACCAATCACAACAGACTGAGCCATCTGACCAATCAGAGCAGAGTAGACCAATCACAACAGACTGGGTCATCTGACCAATCAGGGCAGAGTAGACCAATCACAACAGACTGAGCCTTCTGACCAATCAGGGCAGAGGAAGCTCTCGGAAAGGCGGGGTTTAGAGAGACCGAATCCTTGATTGAAGCGTTTCAGACACTGTGAGAAATTAGCTTAGATACACACACACACACACACACACACACACACTTTATTCATCCGCTATGGAAATTGAATATAAATTTTGCCTTCATGATAACAGGGTTACGGAAGCCCACGACTCCATTCTGTTGGTTTCCTCTCGCCCTAAACGAGAATCACACACAGCGATGATCTGTTTCAACTTCTGTTCGTCAGGTTTCACACATCCCTCGGTACGAGAGCGCGACGCAGTCACTTCCACTACACGGCGACTACACGACTGCGGCGTTCGGCCTGAAGTGTCCTCGTTTCTCATCGTCACACTGGAACCTCATTAATTTGCGCAGTCATTTTTTTCACCCTCATATTTCCTCATTTTTGTGCCACTCTGTTGATATATGGGGCTGGTGTGTGTCATAATAGCACTCGCTGTGCCGTAAAAACCCTGACTAAAGCTTCAGACGCCCTCGATTACTGAAACAATTAACCATGCAGTCATATCTGGGTGTTTCTTCAACTACATTTATGCCTACTTTGTTATATATCTATGTAAATACTTTTTTTCCCCCTAAAATGCCCAGATATTATAGATTTTAAGATTTATTTGGTACAGTGATTTTCAATCAAATTAGTTTGAACAATACTTTATTACAAAATACTTTATTGAATATTTAATATTAGTCCAACAGTGTTTATACATACATCACAGGAGTATTGTCGTTTGTTTTCTTTAAAAAATTTTTTTTTTTAAAAGATCCATGACATGTCAAATTATGTAGTATGTTTAATAGCATTATGTGATGGAAATTACATTTGAAACACTTTTTGTATAAAATGGCTTTTTTTTCTGCTGAATACACAAAATATTGAATAATATTTACACACTTTTTGCATAATTTAAACAATTATTACAAGTTGGTTAGAAATGACACGCAATAAAATAGTCATGGTAATTTTGGGGAAAAAAGAAATAAATCACTTTCACGCAATACATTTTGAAATGATTTATTTTTTAATATACTTTTATATAATTTTTATATCATATTTCATTTAAAAAATTTTTTTTGCATTTTTATAATGGATTTTTGTATTTTTGTAAGTAAGTCTGTATTAGTAAAATGAAGTCATATTAAAATCTGATATTTTAATATCATGTTTAATAAAAACGATGGTAAAGACACACCCTTAATTACCTGCATGCATTAGCATGTTCTCCTGCGGGCGACTGCAGTTTTACACGGCTAGTTTATCTGAAGGTTGATGTTTGACAGATCGAGACGCCTTCAGCAACATGTGAACAGCCAGAAGTCCAGCTGAGATGAGTCAGGCCCGTGAGGTGACGGCGGGTTTTAGGGGGAAACTTTGGTGCCAAAGCTATACGTCAGTGTCTGTGTAATTAAACAGGAAATAATTAGGGAGAGTCATTAGGGAGAGTCCGGTATCTTGAGGCTAGCATTTCTGCTCCATTATAATTTATTCCACAACCTTCACTCCATCCTATTTTTATTATTTCTCTTTTTTTTCTTTTTTTTTTCTCTAACATTAGGAAAATCCAAGTCATATCAGCTGAAGTTGGTCATCTACTTAACCTCTTCCACACGGTTAATGACCACCTACAGTAGAAACCACATAAAACCAGAGTCTGTCATCCGAATCTGGTTTTAACTGGATTTTCCTTTCAATGAGTTTCTGGTAGGGCAGTCAAACGATTAATCGCATCCAAAATAAAAGTTTGTGTTTACATAATATATGTGTGTGTACTGTGTATAATTATTTTTAATACATAAATACCCACACATGCATGTGTATTTATTAAGAAATATTTGCATGTATATACTGTATATAGACTGAATGTAGCCTATATATAATGTATATTTTATATAAATATAAACATTTTATATATAAATAACATATTTTTCTTAAATATATACGTGTGTGCCTTTATATACAAAATAATTATACACAGTACACACACATATATTATGTAAACACAAATTTTTATTTTGGATGCGATTAATCGTGATTAATCATTTGACAGCCCTAGTTTCTGGTGAACTTTATTTTGCTTCTGAGTTGTTTCAACCCCAAAATGATTATGCTTTCAGTTCATCTTCTTTCCCTTTTTTCTGTTTTCTAGCCTGAATTGTGGGAAACTTGTCCATCCTGTTTTAAACAGGTAATGCTTTGCAGGGATCCCTTTTTGTCATCTGTTCTCCTAAACCTCACCCGCTTCTTTTGAGCTGCAGAGCCTCCATTCATCTCTGGTTGTTTTGCCATTCTGTCTCATTAATTCTGCTCAAACACTAACCCAAGGCAAGTATTTGAACTGAATTGTCTGATATCCTGCTATGCATCGCTAATGTGGAGATATGCAAGATTTATGTGTGCCGTCCGATTTGTCTTACCCACGCTGCATATGAAACATGAAACATCTCCTCGTGGGGAGCGGGCGGTCGCTCTCAGTCAGAAATGAATTATGTTGTCCTCCGCCGCTTCGGCAGGGGTCCCGTAATCCCACGCATCTCGTCGAGACGGAGCACTTTCAGCCTGTAAACAGTCCCGTCAAGCGCTGGACGGAGATGAAACACTCATTCGTCACGAGTCACAGCTTAACACACACCGTCACAGGGCTTGACGTACACGCGCCCCCGGTGGCCTCCCCTTAGATTGAGAACGATGCCAGTTTTTGTCAGTAAGTGACACGACTTTGACAGTTTATCATTAAGTTTTGTCAGAACAAAACACACCATTGGAAATAGCTCTAAATGTCAAGCACTTAACTGGGACAATGAGATAATGTTGTCCTGAAAGCAAACCAAGATGGGGAAAATTTAGCTGAATGTGTCCTAGAGGCCCGCTTTCTTCATTCTGACATTGATTTCCAGAGCCAAGATGCCCCAAAAAAACCCCCCTCAGAATGCTACTTTACCTGTTTTGTTTTTTAGGTAACATCTGGGATGCAAAGTAGGACAGCAATTGAGGCCTTCAGAGCAGGTTATTATATGATATTATTAACGAAGACTTAACGAATACTAAACGTGTAATGAAATAAATAAAAAAATCCCCCCTGAAATTATGCAAAAAAGTGTGTAAATATTATTCATAATAAAAACACATTATGCACAACAAAATTAATGGAACTTTAACTCAAATTAAAACGAAATCGAAAACAAAAATAAAATCTATTTCAATTTGGTTTTTAAACGTATCAATGATAGTATCAATATATTTACTATTATATATTATCTATATTATGTTATAGATTAATATTATTGATATATAATATCTTAATATAATATTTAGAGATAAGGTTTAGATTTAGTCATTACAGTCATGAAATCTCAATTGATTATTTTCTATTTTTATCAGATGTTCCTGGTCTTGTTTTAAATTATTCACATTATTATGAAGAAAAATGTTTTATGTAATGTATTATCACAAATCCCTCTCATTTTTCTACCAATCCCCTTGAATGACCATATATAGACATTTTTTTTCATCTAATCTTCTGTTTCCAATCAATTCCTAATGGATAAAATCATGTCCCGCCCCAATATATTTTTTTTTGCATAATTTCTTGATAAAAAAACTAGATTTTTCAGGTCTAACATTGGGAATGAATCCAATAAGACCAGTTTTGTGATATTTTCTTAAAGGGGTCATCGGATGCCCATTTTCCACAAGTTGGTATGATTCTTTAGGGTCTTCGTGTAAAGTCGTGTAAAATATATTTTGATTAAAATTCCTCAATGGTTGTGTAAAACAACACCCTTTTTACCTCCTCATAAACAGCTGTGTTCACAGCGACCCGTTCCGGTGCATGTCTCTTTAAACGATAATGAGCAGCTCCTCACTCCATGGGGGGGGGGGTGTCGAATGGCTGAGGGCAGAAATATGCAAATACGGGACAGCCCGTCAGCGGTCGTGGGCGGAGCATGAGCATTATGACATCATAGTGCTCAGAAAATCCAAACGGCTTGATTCTTGAGAGTGTTTAGACTTTAAGGATTAAAAAAAAAAAAGGAGTGAATGGATTTTTTTTTCATTGTATGGTGGTTGTGTCCACACAATGCAAACACACATTTAAATGCAAACACCATATGAAAGTGAATTTTGCATCCGATGAGTCCTTTAATGTTCCTCGAGGCTGTTGAGTTTAACCGCCTCTAATGCTGCTGCCGTGAAGGGAAAGCTGTGAGAGAGAAATGCTGGGTTTTAAAGGCTAGCCTGACTCACGCATTTTAGCTGAGGACCTCCAGTCGGTGCCGGTGCCCATCCAACCCACAAACCCATCTCAACTCCTCCGTCAATTATCTCCGGACTCAGCGAGGTTTAGCCGGGTGACATCGGGCTAATTTCACACTCGCTGCCACTCTTCCTCTGAAGACGCCGTCAGATGTCAAGCGAGTGATGGCCACTGAGCGCACGCTAAAGCTCATTATTTCAGAAGAGATTAATTAATGAACGCTAATAGCCGTGTTGAATGCTCAATTTAATTTGAGATCAGCGGCCTGGAAGGTCGTACTCGGGTCTGTGTGTGACCCAGGATAGCGGTGTACTGTGTTTTGTATTTTCCATCTCTCTCTGTGGTGCTGGTGTGTGCATGACTGCATCTCACAATGTGTCTCTTTGTGTTTGTTTCCAACACAAAATCAGATGCTTGTGTCAAAAGGCAGGCACCCATGCAAATGATCTGTGGTAAAGAAATAGTCAAACAAAAAAATCCATTTGCTCACCCTCAATTTGTCCCAAACCTATATGCAGTTATAATAAGAGCATAACAATATTTAACCTCCTGATGCAGTTTGTCAGGAGCGCATGTGGGAGACTCGATCTATCCGTTTAAACGGTGCTAATATTCAGCCTTTTTGTGAAAAGAAAGTGTTTTCTTTTTTGCGAGGTGACCCAGAAGCCAGACAGCTTTATTTTTTACCCTGGTGTTCTCCCCTCTCCCTTGCTCCAGATAGCAGCGCTATCCCGAGACGTCGTCGCTCTACCGTAGCGTCAGAATATAGGCCAACCCTACGGGACAATGCCTCTCCGATCCGGCTCCCAATTCAGCATCCGTGTGTCATGGGATTTCAGGGTTTTATGCCCATATTTATTGTGTTTTTTCTTTACTTTGGTTAAATAAGGCTGTGGTCTGTCCTGGCGTGACGTTGGGTTTTAAACCCTTGATTTTTCTGGCCTTCGGTTTGCTTTTGCCCTTCAGCTTGACTAGGTCATAAACTGTGGATGCGGTATGTCAGACCCGGAGCTGGCAGGCCATTTAAGGATGTCAATTGTGTGGGAGTAGATCAGCGGAGACGTGGAGTGAGTAATTGCTTTGATGCATGGGGCCGGTCTCCTCGATTTTTCCCTTTCCTCTCTGTCTTTCTCATTCTGTCTCAATGCTGAAGTGCTCTGACTTAATAAAACAGCAGTTTACAGCCCAAACTCCTTGAATGTTTCACAGAGGAAGCTCAAGAACTTCCCTCACTCATCTGCACAGCAATCGCTCCGCATTCACACAGCTTTTCTGGATTTTTTAAACCTGTCAGGCGCATGCTGTCGATTACCACAAACAATCTTCCTTAGTGGGTAGGGATGTCCCGATCAGGTTTTTTTGCCCTCAAGTCCGAGTCCGAGTCATTTGATATTGAGTTTCTACCGATACCGAGTCCCGATCCGATACTTATATAATACATTAAAAAAGAATAAAGAAGATCCAGAATATAAAAACAGATCCAGGATGTTCCTTATTTTTTATTTAATTCACCTTATTTTAACATTCAACAACTCTGTTAACAAACAGAGCACTTCTGTGAGGTAGCTTGAACAATCAAGTAATACATAACATAAAATCTTCACTTTTGGACTTTAGTGCAACAGTAAATATAGAAAAAGTCTAATATAAAAACAAATAGCACCTCAACTTAAAATACCCGGCAGGCATGTAAACAAGAAATAAAAATGTTATAAAAGTGTATAAAAAAATAATGAGCATATATACATTAGGGGTGTAACAGTTCACAAAATTTGCGGTTCAGTTCGATATGATACAGCAAAAAGAAAGAAATGCCAGAGAAATGTCCTATTTATTAAAAGAAAAACCTTTAAATAAGTTCGAGTTTTCCTACATCTTGAAACTTTCAGGTTTATAAATGGGGGTAATCTTTGAAGGATGAACAAATAATGTTTTGGTAATCACATTAAAAATAACATTTAAATATATATTTATGTAATATTTGAGTTTTGAAGTGCAACATTAAATCCATGTTCATTCACGGCACAATATTTTTCCTGGTGTCCACGTCAGCGCTGTTTGATCTAATAGAGATCTACGGTTAATAACGGAGAAATGTGAACGCTTCTCACTAGATCTCGCAGCGATGTTGTTACTTCAGTGGCGAATTCAAATGTTTTCTTCACTGGATCTCTTAGCACAGTGTCGCTTGATCTCGCGCTGCACAGATGTTGCTGGTCCGAACTGATAAATGGTCCGTTAAGCACAATATAATGAGTAGCGCAGTTTCGTTCCGCTTTCATTACGTTTGCCATTTGATGTTGCGCAACGTTGTGGTGATCGCGCCAGCGCGGATTTTGTCTGCAGGAAAAATGGTCCTAGGAATCATGCGGTTTGTATGCGTACCGACCTGGAAGCCTCGTACCGAAACGGTTCAATAATTACGAATACATGTACCGTTACACCCCTAATTTACATAAATCCGAGTCCTGATCGGGAGGTAACGTCCGATTCCGATCGAGTCTGAAACCACGTGATCGGATCGGGACATCCCTATTAGTGGGTAAAATCAATTGGTAAATGTATCTGCAGTGATATGGTTCTAATAAACGCATATTAGTAGGCATTTGGAAATATCATATGCATTAAAGGGTTAGTTCACCCCAAAATGAAAACTCTGTCAGTAATTACTCTCCCTCATGTTGTTCAACCCCGTAAGACTTTCGTTCATCTTCAGAACACAAATTAAGATATTTTTGATTAAATCTGAGAGCTGGATCACTCCTCCATAGGCTTCTTAAGGGATCAAAACTGGCCGGCCCAAAAGAGTTAAAGACATCGTTAAAATAGTCCGAGTGACTACAGTGGCTCAATCTTAAGTTTTTCAAGCGACGAGAATACTTTTTGTGCGCAAAAAAACAAACAAAAATAACGACTTTATTCAACTATTCATTTCCTTCTCTGTGGGCCGTGAGATTTCACGTAGTAATATTGAGCAAAGCTTCGTTGTTGCACGTCACACGCAGGCTCACTATTGGCCGACGCTGGTCATGTGTGTGATCCGTGTGATGTCGTACAACCTAGAAGCTTTGCGTAGTTTCACTACGTGAAATCTCGAGACCCACAGAGAAGGAATTAAATAGTTGAATAAAGTCGTCATTTTTTTTTTTTTTTTTGCGCACAAAAAGTATTCTCGTCGCTTGTTAAACTTAAGGTTGAGCCACTGTAGTCACTCGGACTATTTTAACGATGTCTTTCATAACTTTTGGGCCGGCCAGTTTCGATCCCTTTAGAAGCCTATGGAGGAGTGATCCAGCTCTCAGAGTTAATAAAAAATATCTTAATTTGTGTTCCGAAGATGAACCAAAGTCTTACGGGGTTGGAACAACATGAGGGAGAGTAATTACTGACAGTGTTTACATTTTTGGGTGAACTAACCCTTTAAGTTTAAAATATATATATATCTTTAGATAGGGAAAAATAAAATTCTCCAAAGCGGAATTAAATTTCATATTTGAAATCACCAATGAAATCTGACTACAAAAGTCTCATAAATTGTGTTTCTAAATGCTTAAATCATGACATAAAGCGCATCTAAGCTTCTAAAGGTCGCTGTAGTGACGCAATGACTTTACCAGTTGGCAAATAGCTCTTTTTGTTCAGAAGGTGGGACTTATTCCACAATATTTTATATCGAGTTAATATTGCATTTCTCATTTGCTTCCGTTGTGAGTTACTTTGCTGTAAAAGCATTTGAATAAATAATTGTCTGTGGTAAAAGACAGCATGCAATAGTTAAAATAAACGACCCAGAATATTCCTACAGGTCTGAATTATGTGCAAAGAAGATTAATTTTTGATGTTCCTCCTCTTTTCTTCCCCTGCATCTCTCCTTCTTTCTTCTTCTCCTCTTCCAGACCAGCGACCAAAGCACCAGAGGCCGAGAAGAAAGAACGTCCAACCAGCACCATGAGCGAAGCGTCGAACTACACGGGCGGCTCAGACTACACCACACATCCCAGCAGTCCCACAACCAGAGTGAGCCACACACACTATCTCACTGACCTTGGCCTAGTTCCAGCGTGACAGATTGGACTGTCCCATCATGCATCAATAGCATCTTGACCAATTAGTGTCCTCATTACTGGACATTTGCTTCATTGTCTTTGCTTGAGTTGATATAGAGTATAATAAAAATGCAATAATGTGTTAGGATGGGCATCTAGTTAGATATCCATCTCAAGCGAGCATTGCAGATATTTTAAGCGCATTCAGTACATTTGATTCACATCTTGTTTTTCCATCCTGCATTTTTAATGCATACACATATATGGATGGAAACTCTGCCTTTAAGAGTTTCCTAAACCTCATTATTCAAGTCTTTCAAAATACTACTCAACTAGTCATTCAGACAACTTACAATATCCCTAAACTCTTTATAACATAAAAACACCCAAACAAGATCAACAATTCATGAATGGATGTGGCTTGGATTATTTCTCAAATAAATAAATGAATATGCATACAAATACATAAACGCATAAATTCGGAAGAAATGTTAGTTTGACCCGGGAGATGCTAAGATGATGAAATGAGACAAATTTTTTTATTCTAATGATTTATTATCATTATAAACAATTGAAGTCCAGAGATCAGCGACTTGCTGGTCTGTATGATTGTGTCTCATCAGAGCGAGATGAATGACAGATAAACTCGCAGATTCCACAGATTGTTATTGTGTTGTCCATGTGTTTTGGCTTCTGTTAAGACACTTTTTAACCTTCTAAGGGTTCGTAAGTGCCGTCGATTCATAATGCATGCCTTGCACTCGTTTTCTCAGCTCCACTAAACGACTTCACTAGTAAGTTGTAATTATTTACAACTCAATCACTGAATAATGTATACAGGCAAGCTCGAGTCCTCGGAAGTGTCATTTCTCCGAATAATCTCCTCTTGCGCTGTTTGCAGCCATCCAGGTCCTCAAAGAAAGTCCACAACTTTGGGAAGAGGTCCAACTCAATCAGGAGGAACCCCAATGCTCCGGTGGTGAAAAACGGCTGGCTTTACAAACAGGTGTGTGACTCCAGCATCTTTGGCCCCATTTACACTGCATGGTTCAAGTGACCCAAATCCGATTTTTTCCTCTCATGTGTGGCACAGATCGGATATGACCCATGAACGTGTAAGCAGAAAAAAACGCATGGATTCCGATTTTCTCAGATCGGATTCAGGCCTCACTCATATGTGGTAATAAATCGGATATGAATCGGATACGTGCATTTGCGTGTGCCATGTAAGCAGACAAATCGGATATTCCCCAGTAAATGCGAGTCGTACATCTTTAAAAAAGTGATGTCGACTCAGGTGGACACCACCAACTGAGATCACATGACTTATTATAGGTGCGATGGAGGACGAAGGATACACACAGTGGAGCAATGTGGAGGTTTCGTGTCTTTTGAGTGTGTGGGGCGAAGAGACTGTGCAGGCAAAAATGCAGGGTTGTTACAGAAATAAATCCGTGTTTGAAGAAATTTCACGAGATATGGGGAGGCACGGTTTTAAGCGCTCGTGGCTACAGTGCCACCGTAAGATAAAAAGCTTAATGACTTTTAAAAATATTGTGGAAAGCAAAACACTGGATAATTTTATTCGCATCTGCATCCATTGTATTTTTTCGTGCTGTTTTACTTCCTTTTCCGGGTCAGAACGTCTACATTTGGTGGTTTCAGCAGTGTATAGTGTAAATGCAAAAATCGGATACGGGTCACTTTTAAAAGATAATGTAAGCGGGTCGTCAAAAAAATCGGATATAGTCAGAAAATCGGATTTGGGCATCAAGACCTGCAGTGTAAATGCAGCCTTACATGCGCACAGGAGAATCTCGTGTAAAAATCAACAGGAAAAAAGTACATGTTTTTTGCATTTTTACATTGTTTTCATGACATTTATGCACATTCAGTCTCATTACAAAAAACTAAAGTATCAATTATCCCATTTCATTTTATTTTATTTTATAAAATCAGTTTTGCATTACGGTAATGATATGCATTTCCATGGGACTCTATAAAAAATATATAGCATCATAGAAATAATTTTTGCATTATAACATTATTTGCATGACATTTAAGCACATTCAGACATAATCTCATTAAAAAAATTAAGTATCAGTCAAAAATATAATTTATTAAATGTAATTATATATATATATATATATATATATATATAAGAATAATGTTGTTTTGCATTATGGTAATGATATGCATGTTACACTAATGTACTTCCAGAGTGCATACCGAGGTAAATGTTATCAGTTTAACTTTTTTATTTTACTTACTTTTTGAGTTATTTTGTTGCTGATGGTCATGTTTTCTGAGATTTGACTGCACTTAAAAGCTTATCCATCATAAGTTTCAATCAGAGCTTCATCTGCCTGTGTTTTTACGCAGTACATGCACGACTCCCTAGGCACATTTGTGCTTTTGCATCATATTTTTCAAAAGCGCTTCACATAAAAGGCAGAGTGAAATAAACACACAAAGCGCTACGGCCGCATCAGTAACTTCATGTTGTCTTTGTGTGTGTGATCGCTGCGCCAGCGCTCCTTTGAAAGCAGTGTGTTTCCACGAAAAACACGGCTTCAGAGGTGGTCTCTCCCCTTCCCCAAACATCCTCCATCAAAGCTGCTCCCGCAGCACAAGCAAAATCGTCAGGCTTTGTTGTCGAAATTAAAATTTACATGCTTACACGGTGCAAAGATTAACACAACAAACAGTAAAACACGAGGGAGGAATATGAATATGATTCATGCCACAAATAAAATGAGTCGCCTTAAAAAAGAGATGAGTTTGTGCTCTGGAGAACCGCAGCAATTTAACTCAACATAATTATGAGACCGAAGCAAAGATATTTGGTGGTGTCTCAGGAAAATAAGCAAGCATTGGAATGGGCGGGGCTCTCCATGATGCACTGTGATTGGTTGGCTGGTTTGATTGACAGTTGTTGTGCTGCTTCTGGACTTTTGCAGGACAGTACCGGGATGAAGATGTGGAAGAAGAGATGGTTCGTGCTGTGTGACATGTGCCTCTTCTACTACAGAGGTGAGTCGAGCGGCTTCATTTGCATTGTTTGTGCGGTAGGATTAATGCTCCAACGTAGTTTCTGTTGACTTATGCCACTATATGATCAAGTGGCACACTTGCACTGCTATCTATGGGTTTTACGTGGTATATTTTTCAAATCATAGCACTGTTAACAAGGCAATAATGCTGAATGAGTGGTTGCTTATGCTAATACTGTAACCAGAACTTTATATGAGCAGTAACAGGGAAATGATTTGCAATTTAATGATTTCGATTCACTAATGATTCAGTTAACAGTTCTAGTGTTTATAGTCAAGTATTCTATTTAACAAACACTCATATTCAGCGAGAAAGGAAGGGAGGCAAAACAGTCCGAGTCCAAATGTGTCTCATTGGACGTGTTCTGCTGCATGCTGAAGTCTCCTGAGGACACGCTCCTAGATCTCCATAAATTGTGCAATTAACCAGTCCGGCAGTGCAATCAGATCGCTCTTTCATGACCGGGACCATGAGGGTCGAGGCTGTTTATTGGCTGACGGAGAAGACAGAGGATTTCGAACTACGCAGCAGACGTGGTCAGACTGCACAGAGCTCTCTCAGTCTGTTCATATCATCCGTCTTTCTGTGGGTCTGTATCGGCGGGTCAGATGAAATGTTGCTCAAGAAGACCGGTGTGGATGTCATTGATGAAGTACTGAATGCCCTGACCACCGAGGAGGGCAGGATCACTGACGCCTCCTGTCTGTACCAGCTGGTACTGCACACGGTCATGATGCACTAGTTCAGTGTTTCCCAATCCTGCTCCTGGAGGACCCCCAACACTGCACGTTTTCTCAGTCTCCCTAATCAAACACACCTGATTCAACTCATCAGCTCATTATCACATATATCCCCATGTGATAATGAGCTGATGAGTTGAATCAGGTGTGTTTGATTAGGGAGACTGAGAAAACGTGCAGTTTTCAGGAAGGTATTGGGAAGTTCACTGGTTTTGGTCTGTTGCCAAGGTAAAACCCCCGTATTATGTAAGGGATGTGATACCTAATCACACATGGAGTCTCTACAGATTTTTGTTTACTTTTATTTTCACTTAGAAATTCACATAATTTTTTTTAATATTTCCCTGTTTTTACTGAATCTTTTTGATCAAATAAATGCAGCCTTGGTAAACAAAAGAGACTTCTTTCAAAAAATAATATCTGCATTTATGTTCAACAGAAGAAAGAACTTCATGCATGTATAGACTTGACGGTGAGTAAATAATGATAGAACTTTCTTTTTTGGGTGAACTATCCCTTTAAGGAACCATAATTGTTCTTTACAACTCTAATCCTAATGACTGCGGTTCAATTTCTGTAAAAAAATCTATGGAATTGTTTGTGGAATTATGCGTTGGATGAGATTTTGAGAAGAATTGTTAGAGCTGTGTAGTTCTAATATCCGGCTCTGAACTTACACTAGGCTTTGATTTTTTTTGTATCAGTATGTGGTTTCCCTGAAGCTGCCACGCTGAGTCTGATCTTGACAAGAGAATTGAAAATCTCTCCGTGTTTGTTTGTTCGTCTCGCTGCTGTCAGTGGTTCAGCGCGGTTTCTGCAGTGAGCCACCGGCGGGTTTCCTTCAGCAACAACACACAGGAGTTCTGAACACCGCCTCACCGATCTGAGCCGCTCACAGCGTGTGGGATGTTTCCAGAACACACTGATGGATGCAAAAACTTGCTCCATGTAACTTTTTTAAAAGACGATAGCAACACATGGTGGTGAAGCATCATTACATTGCCCATATTTCGGGTTAGGGATTCAAAAATCTGCCTAACACTAATTATGCAACAGTTGATAGTATATATTTGTGACTGTCTTTATGAGTGAGTTATTCATTTACTCAATCGGTTCCTTCAAAAACACTGGTTCATTTGGAAAAAAACTGCATTTTAGGGTCAATCATTGAATTCCTCACTCAACCGATTCGATTCATTCAAGAACGACACAAGTGTCTTGTGAGTGATTCATTGAACCAATCTTTCAGCAGATTCATTCAAACACACCGTTCCACTCGTTGAAACACATTCATGGAGATGTGCTATGGTAGTTTTTCTTTTGACTTTGGAAGTATTTTCATTGATTGACAGACAAATTAGTTGGTTGCAAGTTGCTCAGTATTAACTTCTGGTTTATTGAACTGTTGTATAACGGCAATATCATTAACAATTGCAGTTGATCTGAAATGATCTGAAATATCACCTTACAGATGATAAAATGACGAGTTTTGCAAGTTTTATGTGATTGTTGGAAGTAATAAAGGGCATAATGGCCGTGAAAAGTCTTGCGCTTCTGGAAGCTGGTGATGGGAACGTGCTGTTTTCTGCATTATTACGATAACAGTAACTGTTAACACAGCTGTCACTCTGAATTGACTCCGTCGGCAAGCAACTCTTGAAAGATTCGTTGCAGTCTGCAATCAAAACGATAGAGTTCACAGTCGAGAACAGTCACAACCTCATTGACATGCTCGAATGCACACAGCCCTGCAGTTTTCCCATCAGCCCCGCTAGACTGTCTGTTTACCAACACCCCTGCCGAAATAAACACTCAGTCATGGCTTCGGCTGCAAATGTAACAAGTTCCCTGGCTGACGTCTAATATATGCTAATGTTCACTACGTCTCTCTCTTTGTGTCTTCAGATGAGAAAGAAGAAGGAATCTTGGGAAGTATCCTCCTGCCCAGCTTCCACATTTCCATGCTGTCCGTGGACGACCACATAAGCAGGAAATACGCCTTCAAGGTCAGAGACACATTCAGAATCCTTCGAACATGGCCATATTTGAAATGTTAATGTGATGGGCAGGTGGATGGACCGGTGAAGAAAAGATGAAATACTTGAGTTTTATTTGCCGATTAGTGCAGATATTTTCATGTCGACTCTTTTTTTTTTTTTTTTTGATCTTATTCTCTCTCTCACAATGGTGCGGCTTGTTCTCTGTGAGGCTTCATGAACTCGAGCGTCAACATGTTTACCGGATGGAGCTTTGCTAATACGGTAGGTATTGAGTCCGCACAATGACACATTAACATACCTCACCGCATTAACCAGGAACGCCTAAATCTGTTCGTTATCTAGACCTTAACTGTAGGTGCGTCCCAATTTTGCATTCGTATGCACTATTCTATGCCTGTTTGTAGTATAAATAATACTAGTAGTTTTTTCACTGAAAAATTCCAAAAAGAAAAAAGTGCACATTAAATACCAGGATGATCATGGATTGGATCCATTTATAAGACAATCTTCAGAGGTTATTTTTGCGATCAAATACTAACCCATATTTGACTTATTATAATAGAACATTACATATTTCTTTAATGAACTCATTAACAAATAATCCAGTACTGTTGCTTTATATATACAATACATATACAAGTATGAATTTTGAGACAGGTTTTCCCATCTAAAATTATACAACCCATTGCCTTCATGCAGTTAATCAATAATATTGGTTTGTTTGGCCTTTTTCATGTTATAGCTGATATCCCGAAACATCAGCGCATCTCTAATCATAAGTGATAATATCAAAGATTTGCCAAATAAAATATTGGATGCACTCTTAAAAATAGTTCCAAATGTGTGTTTTTTTAGTGTGAAGAATTTAAAAATGAAAAAAAAAAAAAATCCAAGGAATCTTTTTCCACTCTAAAGAACCTTTTTTGGAATGGAAATATTCCATGGATGTTAAAGGTTCTTAATAGAACCATTGATGCCAATAAAGAACCTTTATTTTTAAGAGTGCATCTAATTGAAATGTAATTTGTGTCTGCTTTAGGAGGAAGCTGCTTATGTAGATTGAGGCATCTCACTAGGGTCTCACTAGTTCTGGTTAACTATTCCAAAGAGCTCAGCGCTTCGTTCGTCGAAGCTTCTATAAACTGTTGTGAAAGATGAGTTTGAGTATCCAGACAAAAGCTGTCAGAGTGAAGCAGTCAGACACACTCCTGAGAGGCTCTGAACGATGGGGGTCTGTCAACTCAAACCCTCCTGACGAAGATCTGCTCACTTCAGAAAGACTGCTCCAGCATTATTGCATTTTGTGCCACTGACATCATCTAGGACACAAGGCAGTTGTTTATTTATATTCATTGTCTGCTCTTTTTTTCCCCCAGGTTGCTCTGTTGGTTTCTCACAACTAGGCGACGCATCCAAACATGCGCACATACTATTTCAGCACCGACACAGCCAAAGATATGGAGTCCTGGATGAAGGTTATGACGGACGCGGCAATGGTCCACACCGAGCCAATCAGAAGGTAAGAAGAACACATCTGATTGAAATCCATGGTGTATCACTTCATTGACATTTACAGCTATTTGTTTGTTTGTTTTTCCAGGTTAAGAATAAGTACAAAAAGCAACAACAACAATAAAATTGAATACCAATAATAATAAAGCAATGTAGTTAATAATTTAAAAATATCTTCTTTATGGTCAGTAATATCATTATTAATGTCAAAATGTTACTTATCATCAGGTTTAATGAGAGAACACTTAAATGAGTTTGATTCAGAACATTTTGTATGTCAGAAAGTCAGCATTTTTAAGTACAATCATTACGAAATGGCTTAAAGACGTTATAAATGGGAAACATTGAATGGTCCACATTGAACCACAAAAACATTGCACCATGGCTTTGTAGACTTATTTTTTCTATTTATCTTGAACTTTTTATGTCGTTAACTTGTCTTTGTTGACCTGCCTCAGTAGAAACTTCAGTGTTTCGTCTTTGCTCTTAGCACTCTTTATCACAGCGCTTTTGTCGTATCTTTTTGAGGAAAGCTGTCGAGTTTCTAGACAAGAGCCTCTTCCATCCCGAGAGAGTCTCACAAGCACAGATTTTCACAGATTTCTAAGTGCAGTGGATGTTTTTGAGACTTTGTTTCAGTGCAGCTTTTAGCACAATCACAGATGCCAAAGAAATCTCTCAGACTTAAACATTTGCTTTTTTGTTTTTTACTAAAATTGCTTTTTGGCAATTGGATCACAGCTGTGATGAACCGTTTTCATAGAAAAAAAGTGGCTTTTATTAATGGAAACGCATGTTTGGTCAAAAAGTGTGTGACTGTTTCGTTGGAGTGTTGCTCTGTATCCGTAATCTTTGTGAAAGCTTCTTGGCGTAGACATTACAGTGGATGTTTTTGTGATAGGCACAGAAACTAGATGTAAAACAAAGAGTTAGATCCACCAGACCATTGCTTTTAATATTACTGCTCCCCAATATTAAACTTCAGGTAAGGAAAGGAGAGGCATTCTGTTACTTTACTAATTGTTCAGACTTAAGATGTTCACGTGGCGGATGATAAAAGAGGCAGAGATAACAGAAGTGTGCTTTACAAACCATACAAGACAATAAAATCAAATAAGTAACCCTTCAAACACGCTTATGCAACAACCCTAGCATAAATTATCATAATTTGGGGCTTTTTTTGGAAAATATTGGTAAACAATTTGTGAATCACAGTATGTAAATTATTTTGAATAAATTGTCTAGTCAAGTGACAGACCAAGTAAAGATTTAATTGGTTATCTGTGCTCATATATTGTGCATTTAGAGCAGTTTAATTGCTTGTTTCGTCTTTTTTCTTTTAAAGTGCCCCTATTATGCTATTTTAAAGGATCTTAGTTTTGTTTTGGAGTCTCCTACAATAGGTTTACATGCATCCAAGGTCAAAAAACACTTCAATTTACTCATAACATACATTGCAGAATCACCTGTTTTCTCACAGCGTCTGAACGGTTTGATCAAGGATTCAGTCTCTCTAAACCCCACCTTTCCGAGAGCTTCCTCTGCTCTGATTGGTCAGATGACCCAGTCTGTTGTGATTGGTCGACTTCTTACAGCGCATTGGAAACAAAACTACATAGGATCGAGCAATAAGTAAGACTGGAATTACTGATGACTCGTTTCAGTTCAGAATCGGTTCTTTCGTTTGGAGACAATAACTCCATTTGTCTGCTCTTTGACCTTTTACATTCACAAAAAGCTACTGTATATCACACACTACATGAAAGGTAATATCCAAAGAAGCATGAATGTTGTGACTTTCTCTCACTTGCTTTTCCCCTCCCTCTCTCTCTCTCTCTCTCTCTCTCTCTCTCTCTCTCTCTCTCTCTCTCTCTCTCTCACACACTCTTTCTCTCTTATCTGCAGGCTTGAGAAGGTAAAGGTTGACCCACGCAGCCCTCAGGAGATGAACAACATGCTGAATCACCGAGTCCTGACCCGACCTGAGATCCAAAACAATGAGAGAAACCGCGAGACTCACCGCCAGGAGGAGAAGAAGCAGAAACCCGTGGACAAGCAGCCCTGCATCCAAAAAGACAAAGAGAGCAGGAGTAGCGTGCAGAAAGATGAAGAGCGATACACCCTCCAGAGAGAGACAGACAACTACGCTCTGCACAAAGAAGCTCAGAGACTCGCTCTGCAGAAGGACGGCGACCGCTACATGTTGCAGAAGGACGTGGAGAAATACGTCCTCCAGAAAGACGGAGACAAATTCGCCGTCCACAAAGATGGAGAGAAGTACCTACTCCAGAAAGACGGGCAGAAGTACACACTACACAAGGACGGAGATAAGTACACGCTTCAGAGGGACGCGCCACCTAAAGACGCCGAGAAGATCCCACAGAAAGATGGAAGGTATTCTCTCACGCTCCCGAGGGAAGGAGATAGGCATAAAGACCCGGAGAAACCCGTCCCACCCCCTCGGGAGGGTGAGAAATACGGTTTCCAGAAAGAGGGCACTGTGGAGCGACCGCTCACTAAGATCAACAGCATCAAACTCCAGCCGGCTCAAGCGGCGGCCATCGCTTTGGCCGTCTCGTCCTCCAGGCAGATCCAGAGCGCCGGATCCGGACAGTACATGCCGTCCCAGGTCAACGGTTCCGGGGAACGAGGAGGAGACCGAAGCCCCGGAGACATGAGCAACACGATGCCCCCGAGGACGCCGGTCCCGCCACAGCCGGCAGAACCCGAGAGATCTCTGAGCAGAACCAGCTCCATGCAGCAGCTGGAGCAGTGGGTCCGTACGCACCGCACACGGGCCCCGGACGATGACACCCGGAGGTGAGGAAGCACGGTTTACACTCTCAATATCAAATATAGATTTATTTGATTTAAATATTATATATATTAACCTCACTCGACACACTTGAGTCTGCCGACGACAACAGGGCAAATGGAGGAGTGAAAAAACGTTCACTTTGACGCGTTCAGTTTAAACAGCTCGTTTACGTCTCGGATCCTAGCGTCAGAAACTGTATTGGATCTGACAGCAGCTGCATCTCAAACCGTGAATGATTTCATAATGCTTTGTCTGAAAATGGCGGTTTTATATGGATATTATGTTTTTAAAACACTTACTCGCGTGCAATAGCGAGCGGGCGTTGATACTGTTTCCTATGCAATGATGTAACAGTGGCCGTTTACTGACAAGCCTTAAAGCTGCCGTCGGCAACATTTTTTTTGATCATATTCAGTGAAATCGACACTATAATCCGACAGAACAACATAAATAAAGTGGTTTTAGAAAAAAACCCGAGCTTCTAACTCCACCTGGAGCTTGTTATTTGTTTTGCAAAAATCCACAGCTCCCGGATCATCGGGTCCAATCAGCGCAGGGGGGTGTGAGATCTGACTGTCAATCACAGATCGGGCACACGCCACCCCTCGCGCACGTTACAATCACATGCACACGCCGGAAGTTCGCGCAGTAACGAAGAGTGATGGCGGAAAATCAAGTAAGCTCATTTAGAGTATAAATGACGTTAGCAATTGCAATCTATCGGTAGATTAGCCAGGACAGCATACCTCCAAATACTCCATGGTGTTGATGGATGCTGATGAGACGGGCGCGCTCACTGAAAATCTGGTGCACACGCACTGACGAGCATGAACATGATGGGAGGGTATCCGTTGATAGTGGGGGAGGGGCATAAGAGTTGTAAACATTCAAAATTTTGCCTAAGTCCACTCAATCTGCCGGACTTGCCGACTGCAGCTTTAAAGTAGCCAACCCTTAAAAATCTATGATTTCAGACAGAGGTTCAGAATGAAGGTTGAAAATAATAGTTTTCACACACACATTTTTTTTGTCAAAAAAACTTTATTAACACAAGTGAACCTCAAAGAACAGTAAAATAAAAAATCCATGTCACCCCTTTAAATGAGCATTTTGTAGTTTTTAAGGTGTAGTGCATAATGTTTAGGGGTTTTTTGTAGGTTGTAATATGTTTTATTTGTAAACTAACTATTTTGTAGTTCATAATGTTTATTTTGTAAAATGAGTATTTGATAGTTTAAGTGTGCATTGTGTAGTTTGTAATGTGCATAGTTATGTATGTTTCCCAAACTAAACACATTACGAACTACACAATACATGCTCTACTAGCTGTACAATATGCACTTTACAAACTTACAAAATACTGTGAGTGCATATAAAGTTGTATTTTTGTACCCTCCGTCTGTCTGTCAGAAACTGGACAAACACTGGATTCATGCATCATTCTGTCTCTCTGAAGCATCAGCCGTGCCAGAGAGCAGCAGAACACAGCGTTTCTTCTCCCACTCTCAGTCCCCTGACACATGAGGTCTGCACCAAACTCCAGCGTCTGCAGGCAGTGTTCCTCCATGAGCTCTTTATCATGAGCGAACAGATATTTTTACCTCTGCCCGGTCTCACTGCCTCCGCCGCCCGAGCCGAGAGGATGAAGCTGGTTATGTGGGAGCCGCTCCCGCTGTCAGGTGCCATCCTCCGTTTAGCCCTGCAGTCGACGCGCGTTTGCTTCGCTTGTCTCGTCCTCCTCTCCTCAGATGAATAAGTCATGGAGCTTTATGCTCAAGCACCACGAAAATTTGTCTCAAAGTGGATCAGAGCTGCTGTCAGCGCAGGAAGAGGAACAGGAAGGCGAGCGAGGAGAGAGAACGGCGGCGTGTGTTTGCGTTATTTAAGATGCTGATTCATGCTCATTATCAAAAGGCATTGGCGAAGCGTGTCTCTGCTCTCTTTAATATTTTTGCAACTTATGCACATATCGCAATGCTTGTTTAGGCTGCTGTCAGGCTTATTTTTGACAGTTGGTCTTTGCATATGCACGTCTTGTCCAATCACAAACTTTCTTTCCAAACTCTCAGCATGCTGCGATTGGTCTGTTTATTTATTTATTTTTGTAATGCAGATGACTGAATTTTAGGTTATTTAACGTTACCAACACTCAAGATTCAGGATGCAATTGATTGCAGCAGACACAGACAAAAAAATCAACCACATTTGTAAGCTAAATCATTTTATTTTAGATGAACATTTTGAAAAAATGCTTTGAGCCGATGTGCAGCACTATAAATTATGTCAGGGATTACACTTTAGATTAGGGTCCAATTCTCACTATTAACTAAATGTTAATATATATAATATATTAGTTTTAAACGTTGCATTTAGTTTGTTAATAAATTCATATTTTTAAATATATTATATGATATTAGAATATTTTAAATGTTTTTTTCTTAGTTTCACATTTGTTTGTCGTTTTGCATATTGTAATTATAGTTAGAGTATTATATTTAATTTTAGAGTAAAATGGACAAAAAAATTTAATTATGAAATTGAAAAACATTGAATAAATGAAAAAGATATTTCCATCAAAAGACAAAAAACAATGAGTATTTAATATATAAATAGTATGTTTATCTGGCACATTGGATGTATCCATATTTGATGGTTAATGCTGCCAGCATTGTTCACTATGGTAAAAAATTTAGTTGGTCTTCTACATCCAGCCAACATGGTTTGGAGCTTCTCGTCTTAGAATAGAGCAAATAGAGACGTGACTTTTGTGGTTTGTGAATTTTGGCACTCTGAGCTCTTTATTGATTTCTACTCTGTCAATACAAGGGTGTGCAAGCCAAACATTTTAATGGTGCCTATAAAAATGCCAGGGAACCGAAGCCGAAATCGCCAGCTCCTGGAAGAGTAGTGCTCGTAACTCTCCCTCAGTACAGTCTTCTGAAACTCCACTCGCTCTCAGTCTTCCCATCTGTTTTCCTGCGTTCCCTGTTGATGATGCATGTATGCTGTAATTATTTCAGAGCGATCGGCAGATGACAAGTGAAAATTAGAGACGGTTAATGATCAGCCGGAGTCAAAGGTGAAGGCTTTTGTGGAGGGAGCAGCACTGTGACGAGTATAAGCACGACTCTTTTATCATAATATGAATGAGTTCGTGTTTAAAGGGGTCCTATTGTGCTCTTTTTCAAAATCTTGATTTGGTTTTTGGGCTCTACTAGAACAGGTTTTCATGCTTGAATGTTCAAAAACATTATTTTCCTCATATTCTCCATTGTTGCGGCTCCTCTCTTCCCAGTCTGTCAGTAACGCTCTGTTTACTTCCTGTCTCTATGAAGCCCCGCCTTCTGAAAAGCACACTGTGCTCTGATTGGTCGGCTGGATCAGTGTGTTGTGATTGGTCAAACGCTTCGAGTGTGTTTTTGGAAATGTCCCGCCCCTTACCATAACCGCCAGTTTAACACACTACTAACTAACTCAACCAGGCCCCGCCCCTTTATTCTGCGTATTAATTATTTAAATGAGGAATATTGTGACGTGTTCGTTCCTGGAAGAAACTCAAGTTCAGAAACACTGACACTAATATAGAGAATAATTCCCTTTTTCATGCTCAAACAGCAACATTACACACTAAAGAAAGTTGAACATGTACAAAAGCATAATAGGTCCCCTTTAATTATCACCTGCAGCATAACAGGAAATCATCACAAAGTCAAAGCCAGGCCTTATTAGCATGATTGTATTATTATAAAACTCTCTTATTCAAGTGGATTGCTTGAAGTGCTGTTGTTTTGTATATCATTGACCTTTTTGTGGCTCCACTTTCTTTATTTTCCAGCATAACATCCTACCAAACGTTGCCAAGGAATATGCCGAGCCACCGGGCGCAGATCGTGCCGCGTTATCCCGAGGGTTACCGTACGCTCCCGCGCAACATGCTTCGTCCGGACAGCATCTGCAGCGTCACAGGGTCGATGTACGACCGGGCGTTACAGCCCACCACGGCAGAGAAGCGGCGCTCCATACGGGACGACACCATGTGGCAGCTGTACGAGTGGCAGCAGAGGCAGTCTCACACCCGGATCGGATACGGGACGCTCCCCAGCCCTAAAACCATGGGGCAGATCACAGAGTCCATCCCCACCTCCCCTTCCCACGGATCACTGGCCGGTTACCACACCTTCTCCCCTAATCGTCCTCTAAACCCAGATTCCCGCTCGGAAGTCTCCTCGCCGGTGTTTCGTGGGGACGTGACTATTGAACGCCGCCACCGACCGCACCTCTCTAAGGTAAAGAGTCATATGGGGTTCCCACAGGTCTCACAGACAAGGCCTAGTCTGTGTGTGATGTTTTAACTGAAAGTTGTGGGAACCCTGCATATAGTTATAGTTTAGAAAATAGTAATAAAATATAACAAGAACTCAGAGTTATCAAATCAGTTGATATTTCACTGGTTTTGTCCGTCCTTCTCTTAGACTCTCACACATGAATTATGTTGAATATCTGTCAGCTGTTAAATTTAACTACACAATTAGATAATACCAGTTTAGCTCAAACAATTACAAACAATTGTTCAGTCTGTGGTGTAAAAAGGTCGCATTAGAAATTAAAGAAAAAACACTTCAGCAAAACATGGTCAGCTCAAAGTGTCGGAATAATTTTTGGTCCCAATTTTTTATACATTTTTACTGATAGTCACTGTATGAAGAATTTTTAGGTGTAATATGTCACAGTTTACTTTATTTTACTATCCTCACTTACATAAATGAACTATAGTGTCTTGCACCCACTAGTAAAAAAATATCAACAATTATATCTAGTGTCTGAATAATTTTTGGTTTGATTCTGTCTTTCAAACCAGAATCTTGCTCAGACACGTCTTTCAGTGATCGTATAATGACTCAACTGTCATTTTTCTGAGCTGAGCGGGTGATTATCCGCTCACATTAAATGACTGAATCTTTAAGTTTCTTTTAATGCTGAGGGTTTAATGCTCTCTTCAGCAGAACGGCTCCTTCTGATTGTCATGATTGCCGTGCTTTGCTCTTTCTCTCTCAGTATTCCTACCCTGCCGAGCGCAGGCCTGTTCCTCCCGCACAGAGCATCACTGCACAGTCTCTGCAAGGCAAAACGGTACGCTTTCCCTCTTCTCCACCCACCTCTTCCTCTGTGCAAAGAAAATGTGTGTAACTCACAGATCCAGAACTTTGCTTTACTGTCAAACTCTTTGCATTTTTCAGTTGCAAGCCACTGAGGATTCGTTGAGGCTTCTCTGTCTTTGGCTTGCAAATTAGGCGGCTTTGGACAGAATATTTTACATGCGTAGGTCGAAGCTGCTTATTTTAAGTCAACATGAGATCAAAATGTATTTAGTTTCTTAACACATGCTCCTGGTCTTACAGTGCATGATTTATCAGTGCACATCATTTCAAAGGTAAACATTTTTTTCTAATCTTTCATCAAAATATGACTGCTTCACCTGAAGGTATTCCACATTATGGAAGTAAAACAGGTTGCAAATGCATTTCATGTCGAGTTAAACGGATATTCAAATATGTTCTACAAGTACACGCCAGTAGCCTTGTGTAGACTCGTCTGCACAGGGTGTGTGTGTTGTTTCAATGCAGAAGAGTTGGATATTTATGTTTTAGGTTGAATTAAATGCCTCTGACACAGAGAGGAGCGTGTGTGTGTGTGCGCGTGTGTGTGTCTATTGTGACAGCAGCACGCAGTAGAAGTGCTAATACCATAAGCTCTTCTTAAAACTATAATTATTATTCTCTTACTTGACGTTTCAAGTTTTAACAGCCTTAGGCCGTCTTTACCTGTTAAGCCTATGCTTTTTATTTATTCATTTCACTAACACAAAATACAATAGGCAGAAATTGTCTGTGATATGATTTCAGGGAGACCGAGCATTTTAATGAAAAAGCCTGCGGTCACTTGATGAAATATTAATAGAGCTCCTCCAAATGTGTTTTACTCATCATCACTGGGTAACTGTTGGAAAAATGTCTTTAGCTACAGTCCATGAAATTAAATTTAGTACCTTAAACATTTTGATTTCAGTAAAAGCCTCTTCCTCTCCCTGAGAAAAGTTTTTATGATCTTTGTTTTTGTGTGATGTTACTTTTTATTTGAATCATTATAACCCAAGATGAAATGTCAAACATGTGATAACTCAGATTATTTGCTTGAAGTATTGCTTAATTGGTTGTTAGAACAAGTTTCTAAGGATAAATTAGCGTTTCTTAAAAACAAATTTAAACTTAATCCTGCTGGGAAAAAAACAGCTTACCTTTAAATGTAAAGTTACTTACCTAGTTTATGCAACTTAGCTGGTCAATGCCAGTCTATCCTGAAAATATTATACTTTAATGCTACAACATAGAAAATAGAAACATTCAAGCATATAACATTTTCAGGATACTGACATAAACCTGTGATATCTAATTAACATTATTATCCAGCTCTACCAGGTTCAGCTAAGGTGCATAAACCAGTTTAGTAATCACAGACACACACACACACACACACACCCGTATGTATATACAGTATCTATTCATATTTTCAATTACCTTTTATTTTTATAATTTTAATTTGTTATATTTTATTGTGCTTGATTTTTATTTCTTAAAAGCACATTTTCCAGCTTTTCCTGCTGGAAAAAAAAACAGATTGTACTTAGTTTCTAGCTAGAGAACCTGTTTTTTTCATGGTTACTAAACTGGTTTAAGCACCTTAGCTGGACCTGCTAGAACTATAATCATGTTGAATTAGATCAAAGATTGCAACTCAACACACAAAATACAATAGGCAGAAATTGTCTGTGATATGATTTCAGGGAGACCGAGCATTTTAATGAAAAAGCCTGCGGTCACTTGATGAAATCAATCAATCACTTTATTTATAAAGCACAGTTAAACAACACAACTTCTGTTGACCAATGTGCTGTACAGAGTAAAAAAGAAAAATATTAATAGAGCTCCTCCATGTGTTTTACACATATTTTACACACATGTACACACAACACGGCCCAAACCCCCGTAACCCTCTGATCCCGGCCCACACTAACCGCTGTCCTGTCCCGCTGCAGCCAGAGGAACTGACTCTTCTGCTCATCAAACTGAGGCGGCAGCAGGCCGAGCTCAACAGCCTCCGTGAGCACACGCTCGCGCAGCTAATGCAGATAAACCTCGATGCCACCAACCCAAAGGTCAGCCTGTGCATCCCAGAGTAAAGGGCTTGTTAGTTCACCCTGCAAACCCTCCAGCCACCCCACAACCTCGCCCTTTCATTTCCTAGTCTGGTGGTTCTCCCATTGCTTCCGCATGCTGTTGTGGATTGGTGGATTTCAATGCAAGATTTAGTGCTTTACAATAAGGTTTCATTTGTTAACATTAGGTAACTACATTAGTTAACATGAGCTGACAATGAACAATACTTCTACTGCATTTATTAACTCTTTCACTGCCATGGATGCAATTTTCAGGGAATCCATGATTTCACTGTTACACACAGTAGGAGGCGCTATTACGCTTCTTCAGAAAGAGTACAGAATCTCCAGATCCAATAACAAGCATTGCTTACGCACGTAAAATAACGCGATCATCAAACGTTACTGAATGAAATGTCCAATCAATGAAAAGGTAATGACTGTGAAGCTTTGGTGGTGTTGATGGACTCGATCTACTCGGCCTGTGTTTTGATCATCGTTATGAAACTGATCCGGATGTAGTCTTTGACCAAAACGCAATTTTCTCAGCTTTTTTATCAAAATGTTGCTTTTTCTAATTAAACCTTCCCAGATTCAAGTGTTGAATAAGAAAAAAAGAATGCATGAAGCTAGAATAAAATGTTTTGTTTTGTTTAAAAGCAGATGCTGTTCTTTCTTTTGACGTATTGTATGTTTAGATATTAATACAGCAAAATGTATCCATTTTAAATGATCAAAAATGCTGGAGCTGACTAGCAACTGTTTTTTTGTTGTTGTTGTTTTTAAATTAACGCTGTTGGGGAAAGAATTAACATTAGACTATAATAATTTAATACATTTTTAAAATCAAATGTAAAATTAGTTAACATGAATTATGCACTGTCAACTAACATCAACAAGCAATGAACAATTATATTTTTACTAACTACACTCTTAAAAATAAAGGTTCTTTATTGGCTTTGATGTTTCCATGAAGAAAAACAATTGAAGATTTCATTGCACAAAAGGTTCTTTAAATTATTAAAATGTATAAAAAAATATATTGCTCCCCGTTAGTTCATGTTAGCTAATGCATTAGCTAAGGTAACAAATGAAACCTTATTGTAAAGTGTTATTATGTGGAGAAACGTCCTTTCCTTTCCTCTAACGTGCAAATCCCTTCAATCCTGTAGGTTTTGATCATGTTTTGTGCGACTGCTGCATGATCAGCAGACGTTGTGTGTGTGTTTGCTATCCTCTGGTGGACCCGTTTATATGCAAGAGCCTTATTTCTGATTTGCTCTTCGGCTTGCTTCATTTAGCTCATAGAAGTGCATGATGAGCTTCAGGATAAAGCGGAGCTCGCCGTTGTTGACTTTGACAGCAGTGAATGGCTTCTTTAGTTTTGATTTCTTTTGCACCGTCTGTGTTGCACTTCCCCTGCTCTGAAGCCCAAAGTTTCTGGTTTTCTCACTGCTCTCCTCTCATCTTCTTTCTCTTGGCGTCTCTAGAGTGAAATCCTTTCCCATCACCTACAGAGGAATCTCATGTACTTGGACAGCCAGGTGAGGGACTTTCCTGTTTCTCTGGCTACTGTACTTTTATTACAGCACAGATCAAACCCAAGCGTCGTCTCTGTTCTCCAGTCAGTGCGTCTGCTACAGTTCTTTGTTCTGTAGAAGCTCTGCGTCTGTTGAATGCAGATGGTGTCCCTAAAAATAGCAGTTCACTGCTGATTCATTTCATTCTTTTTTTATAGTAGTTTAAAACATAGTTCATTTGTATTGTTTAGTTTGTCCATTCTCAATAGAAGCCTACTGTGTGTGTATCGTATTGTTCATATAACTAATAGAGTAACCTTTCTGTTTTGAAAGCCCTTGGTTCAGGAAGTACATTTAATATTCTTTTCTTTACAGGCATAAACAAGTTTTGGGGCTTGGGTATTAACTACTCATACCATAAAGAATTATGATTGGTGAAGTTGAATAATTATTCTGTTTTTATAATGTATTTTCAGAAATTGGTATTTCATACAAATGCCACACCGCATATATGTCATTATTATTTAAGATTTTGAATGAGCTTTTATTTGTTTCTTTTAGTAATTCAACTTTTTATTTTAGGTACCAAGACAAGATTTCACTTTGTGTAAAGCTTAAGTTGTCTAAAATGTAGAGAAATGTAGGGTTGCTGAAAAGGATTTTGCATGGTTTTCATTGTAGTTTTATTTAACAATAATAACAACACTGCCCTGGTCCTGACTGTTGAGGTCTGAAAGGTTTTCCTTTTATTCTTATGTATAGCTGAAACTGCAGTAATATTTATCTAGGATATTATCAAGCACTTTCACAGTGAACACAGTATCGCTGATAAAACACATCTTGGTGGACATTTTGATGTTTTTGAAAAGGTCAACATTATCCAGCAAGGGTTCTTCTCTTTCTTTCACAAAACAATTTATTATCTTTTAACATTATATTGCATTACTGAAGTCATTATTCCGGAACAGTGAACAAGAAAAAGCATGAGTAAAGCAGACCTGTGATATTTGTAAGGGTCAGAAGCTGTTAAAACACACAGCGTGTGTCTTGCAGTGCTTTGATAACAGCTGTTACTCCTCCTCCTCCTCACGTACTAGATGAAGGAGAATGAGCCAATAATCTTCATGATTCACACTATGATTGAGAACTCGGCGCCAAGGCCGCAACTGTACCAGCAAGTAAGGTCTTGGAACACATGGTTATGCTCCTCCCCTTTCGTGTCATGGGCCCCGCCTCTTTGTCGAAGCTCCACCCCCTCACTGCCCCATCCTGTGTCGGTTTCGTTCCAGCATATCCCATTGGTTTCCGTTGTTGTTGTTGTTGTTGTTTTCTTGTTGAAATTCAAACCGGTATTGGCATGGCTTGAACGTTTCGTACACCGCACAGCCGTGCGAATCACAGCTAGCTGACCAGCTGCTCGCGCTAATGTCACGTTCATTAGCAATGGCTTCATCCATCACGCCAGCTTACATGTATCCGCTCAATCTCAAGTGTGTGGAGACCAGTGTGGTTTACAAAGCCTTTTTTTGTTTGTACTTGGCATCACGTACCATTTTGACCTTCAAAGGAAAAGGTCAAAATGTCACACAAACATGGTTTTACAAGGTTTAAAGGGCCGTTCACATCAAAGACGAAAACTGTAACTAACATTTTAATAATCAGTATAGAACTATATTTTGCAATAGTTTTATTAAAACTATATTTTTGTCCTTGTGACAGAGAGGTTAAGCTTATTATTTTATTAATAGTTTCAGTCGTAGCATCAAATATGAGATATACTTATTTTATTTCACATCTGAGATTTTATACATAAATAAAAGCATTTGAGATATATTTTCTACGTAATATATTGATTTTAGTAGCTTAATGTGAGGAATATTCAACAAATATGTCACCAAATTGACAACTTCTTAAGTAAAGATGTATTAGAGGACATGCAATTTGCGAAAGATGTAATTCTGACTTTTGACATGTTCTGTATTTGTTGCAGTTCCTTGTGAAGTGTGTGGTTTAAATGCTAGATGTTAATTTTGGATGCATCTTGAGTCTCATTTGTCTTTGTAAGTCAACTTAAAGGGATAGTTCACCCAAAATGAACGGGTCTCAGTCCGCTTCCAAACGAACTCGGGTGCGATTCGATTGAAGTATGAGCGCAACATTACCAAAGACATGTAAACAAACCAACAACAGGACATGATGTCACAAGATGCAACCCTAAAACGAACCGAATGCTCAACCAAACCTGTTTTTCCCCATCACAGTTCGTACAGGCATCAGAACCGCGTCTCCTCACAGCAGATCTTCGTTTGTGTGTGTGTGACGGAGGGATTCCTGCCACTGTTTTGACTCCTTTACACATTTTATAAGCTCTTCACGAGTGTTCAGCTTCATAATATACCAGGCTACACACATACAACGAGCACATTCAGCCCAGAACACAGCATTGTTTTGGATGTTCGTAAGTTTAATTGCAAAATATACCTAATAAAAGCTGACCAATCAGGCTGTGAACATATCCCTATGCCTTTAGATTTGTAATCTTTAGGTTCGATGTTAAATGCCGATGTGAATGCTAAGCATACCAGTACTAAATGTTTTGTTTTGTTTTTTTGGTACGGACCAAACGAACTAAGCAAACCGAACTACGAGTGTGAACACACCCACAGGGGTCTCGGTGCGCACCAGGGTTCAGATGGCAGCGTTCACACTTATTAAAATGAACAGCACTTACAGAGCAATCGCACCAGGGTTTGCTTTAATGAAACTAAACCTGCCAACTGTGAACACACCCTGAAAGCACCCTAAAAGGTGAATTGACAACCTCATGCCATACATTTGGTGATATGAGGGTGAGAGAATTTTTATTTTTGGGTGAACTATCCTTTTTATGTTCAGATTTTTCTTTGTTCTTCAAATCTCTGACAGCGGCTCCTCTCTAAGAAATCCTTTAAAGTCGGAGTCTGAGCGTCTGGAGGCTCCAGCCGAGATTCGGGGTCAGGAGTTCCTCTCTGCTGGCCTGTAGTCGAGCGTGTGTGAGCTTTCAGATTTAGTCTCAGCTTTTTCTAGTTGTCATTAGTCACACTGGCTCGAGCGCTGACAGACCTGACAGAGGGGGACGGCAGACCTCCTGAAACCAAACTGTTTTTCAGCACACAATCCATTCATATTTAACAGAGGACATGACTCTTGTTGTATTTCTTGCGAGTTTTCTTTTAAATTGGCGCTCAAACTCTTTGTTTGCGTGTGCGTGCGTGTCCCGTAGCAGATGTTGTGGACGTGTACGACATGAGCGCTCTTAACAGTTTTGTGATTCTTTCACACCAGATGGTGTTGAAACAGCGTTATTTCCGTGATGAGATGATTCATATCTGCATAAACTCATCCGGCTGCAGACAAGTGTGAATGAGTGTGTGGAAAAAAAATGATTTTCTTACTCAGTATTTTTGTCATTTTCCAGTACGAACATTCTTAAAATGAAGATACGTTTAATTGCGAAGATATTAAGTGAGTATCTGCCAGTAAGTTAGTTTATTTTTCTGACCCAATTGGCAGATTTCTAAACCCCTTTAATTTTAATACATTTTTCAGACATCTAGACTTTGCTTCTCAAGTTAACATATCTTGATTTAAGGATATTTCTACTGGAAAAGACAAAAATATTGAGGAAGCAAATCATTTTTTGCATACTTCTGTGTTTGTATACGATAGAAATCTTCCATCAGACTTTCCCATTTGCTTCTTCCGAACTGTTTGGATGGAGTTTGCATGATTGTTTGGTTGTCAGTCCCAGTGCTTTTGTATACAGTGTGACTGTATATAAAGATCCCTGTTGCGAAACTGACTGCACATGTTTATATTGTACTGGCTGCAATTGTTACAGGATTTACTGAAGTAACTGTAGCAAATAAAGTTATTTTTTATGTAGTTATGTTTTAAGGTTAAGCTTTTTTGACAGTACATTGAGGAGTTAAGTTGCATGTAGAGCAGTAGTAACTCAACTATATACAGGCTCATGCCGCTCACTCCATTGCTTCATACGCAGTCTGTATAACACTTTCTAGGATATATTATACAATGCATATAACATCTTACGTAATTCCCTCTCATTTCAGCAGATGAGTCCTGAAGAATACAGAGAAAACACCTACTTGTACAAACCGGAGGAGCTGGACATTGATGTAAGAATATCGTTATAATGCTCTCTCACTGATTGTTTTTATGATTGTACGCTTACGTTGACTATTATTATTTACGTTTGTGCTTCTATTACACATTTAAAAATCTATAGTGCACAAAACACAAACCTATACAGTGTTTTATACACTTTATGAAGGACTAGGATTGAGACTTAAAAAAAATAAGGTATTAATTACCAAATGTGAATTGAGTTAAAAAAACATTTTTATCTCAATCTATAAAGCTATACTAGCAACTTTTGAAGCCAGGAATAGCAAGAAAACCTATTAAAACCTGAACTTAATATGGAATAATACAACTTTTACTGAAGTCTGTGTGTAAACTAAGAAACAATACTGTTCTGTACATCAATTAAAGCTTTTCAGGGTGCTTAAACTTATTATGATTATGGTTTTGATGTTTCATATGTATGCAATATGATAACATAAAGTTGTTTTTATTTTATTTTATGAGACTGTTTTATTTTTTCCCCAAATGTTTGTATAATTATTATACATGCCCTTTTTTATGACCTCACATTTATTTGAGTCTGCATTATTTTATTGTTTCAGACTGCATTATTTTATTTTATTTTTAAAATTTGTTGTATAATTATTATACATGCCCTTTTTTATGACCCCACATTTATTTGAGTCTGCATTATTTTTTTGTTTCAGACTGCATTATTTTATTTTATTTTTTAAATTTGTTGTATACTTATTATACATGCCCATTTTTATGACCTCACATTTATTTGAGATAACATAAACATATTAATATGCATTTGCTTAAAAATAACCCACTTTTATAGATTTGACCCTGACTTTACCGTTTCAGGCAAAGTTAAGTCGGCTTTGTGAGCAGGATAAAGTAGTGAGAACTCAAGAAGAAAAACTCCAGCAACTTCACAGAGAAAAGGTACCGAACATCTCCATTCTCAACATAAAGCAGTCTTCTAATAGTCTCATTCCTGCATGTGTGTGGTTGCAGCACACGCTGGAGACGGCGTTACTGTCAGCCAGTCAGGAGATCGAGATGAGCTGTGAAAATCCAGCGTCGGTCCAGAGCGTGATCCAGCAGAGAGATGTTCTTCAGAGCGGCCTCCTCAGCACCTGCAGAGAGCTGTCACGAGTCAACTCTGTACGTCACACACTCCGCTCACTCTCACTGATGTACAACTACACACTCTCAATCACTCACCCATCATGCTCTGCTGCTCACAGGAACTGGAGCGGAGCTGGAGAGAGTACGATCGACTGGAGGCAGACGTCACTCTGGCTAAAACCAACCTCCTGGAGCAGCTCGAGGCCCTCGGGAGCCCACAGGTGACTAATGCTAGCATAATATATGCTGCTTACTAAAAATGATATGTGCATAAATTCACTCATTCCATGTTAATTCCATTGCATTGAGCTGAGGTGTTCATAAAGAGTTTGTCTGTGTCCAGACGGAGCCGCCCAGCCAAAAGCACGTTCAGATCCAGAAGGAGTTGTGGAGAATTCAGGATGTGATGGAGGCTCTGAGCAAGAACAAACCCAAGAGAAACGCAGAACCCAGTGAGAGAGCATGCAAAACACACACACACACACACACACACACACACACACACTTGCACATGCACGGGCACACACACAAGCACACACGCACGCACGCACTAGGGAGTTCCTGAATAAAATAAAATAAAAGTGTAAAAGCACAAACTCAGTAAATCTAACACACACGCACAGACACACTCACACACGCACACATTTAATTTATTCCATTATTTTTACAGTAATTGACAATAATAACGGGAAATTTAACAGTCATTATCAGTGTTATTTTAGTATTATTATATAAGATTTAATTATTTATATATTTTCAGTAGTACATTTTTATTTATCGTTTCATTTTAATTTAGTTACTGCTATTAATGTTTTTATTTCTTTTTAAATATTATTATTAAGCTTAAATTTGTTTTCCATTTTAGCTTTAGTAATTTTAGTACTAACTTGTTTTATTTCGGTTATTTTCCAAGGCTGCATTTATAATTCAAGGCTACAAATCTAAAAATGTTAGGTTTTTCATCCAACATTTATATATTATTATTTTATTTCAGCTTTATTTCAGTTTACGTAAATGATTTTTAATAGTTAACAATAACAACACCAGTTATCATACAAGAAACCTTCTTGACCTTCTTTTACATTTGTAGGTTTTCCTGGCGCAAACCCCCTGTCAAACCTGCATAAGAGTGAAGTAAGTCATTATTTTTTGAATCTCTGAATCACAGTAACGCGGTCTCAGATCCTCAGGACGAGTGTGTTCACCTGTGTTGTGGGTTCACTCGAGAGTCTCTTGTGCCGCTTTGGGTTGGTTGTTGCACCTGGCAACAGTGTCCTTCACTTTCCCGTTCTGTGCGATGTGTAGGAGTCAGACTCCGTGCCTCCGCGTCCTCCTCTCCCGTACTCGTATGAGGGGGGAGACCGGCCCCGTACCACCCCTCACCGGCCCGAGGACCGCAAGAACGCCCAGCGCAACGGTGCCCACAGCGTAAGACCCGCTGTGAACCCCTCGCCCACCCATCCCATCAGCCATCTTCATTTCAGTGCTTCATAAACCCATCATTTGATTTGTTCTAATTTTAGATTGTGTTTTTGTTAGTTATAGATCAATATATCAGCCAGGCAAATTCAAATTTGCATTAGCTGATGAGCGCATCCGCTTTGTGTTCCCCATTGTGTGGATGGTAAACCGTTTCTGCAGACTGATCTCATGAAATGGCGTATGTATGACACGCCAATTCGTATTTCCATTTTTGGCGTGCTATCAACACGCATAATCGCTTTTCAGCGTGTTTATCAACGCCTTTCACTTAACGTTATTACTGTATTATGTATATATATAAATATATGACCTACCCCAACCCCGTCCCTAAACCTACCCGTCACTGGGGTTAATACCATTTATGAGTCTTCTCCTACCATCCTAGGAAAAGAAATATCGCTCCACAGATGTAGATATAGATTTTGTTTCGTTTCGCTCGGACATTTAACGGCGTACACATACACGCGGAATCACTCGGACATTTAATGGCGTAGACATACACGCAAAAGATTTCGGCGTGGACATACACGCGGATAGCTCAAAATGCGTATAAATAACACGCCACTTGAATTGAAAGTGGCGTGTATGTTTACGCAAAGTCATGATGTCATGTTGGTTTCTGCCTGATTTTTTTTTTTTCTCTCCAATTTTTAAACATTATACATAATTTAACATCAGGAAATAAAAGTACATAAAAAATTCAACCCACCAACCATACATTATTCAGTGTTATTCAAAATAAATAATAATAATAATACAAAATAACAAATCTTTTTTATGTATATTATCGTCTACCTCTATATATATTAATATCCACATTCATACAGTATACAAGTGTAAGGCAATATATACTATATAGCAAATCTCAAAAGCTTAATTTCTTGTATCGTTGCATTATTTAACTATATTTTTGTCCAGCTCTAATCTGCTAAATGCAACTACTATAAGGCATGAAGATATTATAAACAATAACATCATGATTTTCAATGAAGCTGCTTTGAAACAATGTATATTGTGAAAAGCACTACAAATACGTTTGACTTGACTTAAAATATTTTGTCTTTTCATTTTAGAAATATTGTTTGACTCATTCAATATACCTGTATTATATCAGCAACCTGTCCTGTAGATATCAGCACTTAAATACATATTTTACCCCCCTTGATATTCCACAGAAGCATGTATGGTGTTATTTGTTTCTGTGTAATGAAGAAATAGTTTTCCTTTTAGGCTGAATATTCACCTAGTCTTAGTTTTCATTTCATGTGCTTTTTGCTTTTGAACCCTCTTAATTTGTGTCAGATGTTCATTTGTGCATTTACCCATCTTCAACATCCTTGAGCACTTCCTGTCACACATTCAATAGATCCGCAGCCTTTGCATAGGTTTGTGCTTCTTCCTTTGAGGCTTAGTTTCTTTCAAATGTATTTTTTATTCTCATTCCCATTTTAATATGTAATCCATGAGCATAAACCTTCACAGAATCAGTACGTTTGTATGGTGTGTGTGTGTGCTGTAAATAATGTGTAAGCAGGTTAAATCTTTGCTCTCCAGGGCCCGGATTACAGACTGTATAAGAGCGAGCCGGAGCTTACCACGGTAGCCGAGGTCGACGAGAGTAACGGCGAAGACAAATCTGAGCAGACTGCAGAGAAAGAGCCGCCCGGCGTCACCAAAGGTGCCCTGACAAACACCAACACAACCAGTCATAAAGCCCTCGCTGCTATTCACTGATCTCTCTCTCTCTCTCTCTCTCTCTCTCTCTCTCTGTCAGGTATCGTTTACCCTGTCGGAGTGGTCAGTCCGAGGACTAAATCACCCATGCCTGAATCCTCCACCATCGCCTCTTATGTCACCTTGAGGAAGAGCAAGAAGCCTGACCCCAGAACAGTAAGTGCACTGCAAACAAACATGTCAAATAGATCTGAGAACTATGGGAGTTGTGTTTGCCTGTGCAAAATGAACCGTTGCAAAGGTGTGCAAAGGTCAGGGTTGCCAGTAAAAGGCCTGTCAAATATAGTCCAAAAAAGCCCAAATCAACTTAAAAATCACTATATAGTAGTTTCATAAAGGAGCTCAAAAGGCCCCTCCCTCATAAAACTCATCATCTAGCACAGTTTTATCAACGGTGGAATGTAAGATATTTCAAAACAAGCATTTCATTCAAATACAGTTTATGCACTATGTCAAACCTTTAACCCGCGGGAAACAAATGAACCCGCGGCAGTGTAAAAGAAGCCCAATTCTGCAGGGAAACCGTGAACTTGGCAACCCTGGCTGAGGCATTGCTAGGCATCCTGGGTGCTTACATGCTGCGCACATCAATAAACATTTCTAATAATAGTTTGCTTCACAGGTGTCACATCTGGTTATCATCTTAGAAATATATACATATACACTACCGTTCAAAGGTTTTAGATTGGTTTGATTTTTGTGTGTGAAATTGTATAGGATGTAATTTAATATAACTATAATACTTAATTTAATACATTTAATATAATATGTGTAATAAAATATATAATTTAAAATTATACATTATTAAATCATTATTTTGTTTGTTTTTTAAATATATCTATATATGTAATGTAATTTGACAGATTAAAATGTATAATTTAATATTACATTATTAAATCATTACATTATGTTTTGATGGTTTTGGTTGAATATATATATTTTGAGTTTGAGCTTAATACTTTATAATCATATTTGTTTGAATATATCTGTTAATGCATATATATCCGCATGTTTAGTCTTACCCGCAGGACCGTCCCCGCAGCGCAGTGGAGCACATGAGCGGCGCTGTAGAGGTGGGCCGAACACGCATGAGTGTCGAGGAGCAGATGGAGCGAATCAGACGACACCAGCAGGGGGCGCTACGTGAACGAAGAAGAGAAGACGGGTCACTGTCACGCAGCCTCTCCTTCACTAAAGACAACCCGTACTACACCCTACAGGTGCCAACATCTGCATCTTCAAAATACGCCATAGGAAGCTCTTAATCAGGAAGTTAATGAATGTCAGAGTCCACTCTCAGATATCAGACCGATTATTAATCGCTATATATTGGATAAGTGGCAAGAGGAGTGGAACACGTGCAAGAATAATAAGCTATATGAAATTCATCCGGAAATTTCAAACAGACATTTAATCGCTCTTAAAAGTAGATCTGATCAAGTGGTATTCACCAGATGTCGTATAGGTCATACAAGTTTGGCTTTTTTGCTTAAAGGTGAAGACCCAACTCTCTGCATGTTTTGTAAGATTCCCCTCTCTGTTAAACATACTGTATTTTATTGGCCTGTCCTGGGTTTAATACAAGTAGAATGCTCTTTTATGAAGTTATTTCACTTAAGGACTTTAGTAAGATTATGCCTGAAAAGGTTTTGGATTTTTTTTTAATCATATGTTAATTTAAAAATATATATATATATGACTTGTTGTGTTTGTTTGCTTGGTTTTATTGTATTTATATGATATTAGTATTTTTTTAATTTTTGCCATTAAAATAGCCTTAGATGCTGACATGGCATTAAAACCATCCATCCATCCATCCATCCATCCATCCATCCATCCATCCATCCATCCATCCATCCATCCATCCATCCATCCATCCATCCATCCATCCATCCATCCATCCATCCATCCATCCATCCATCCATCCATCCATCCAGGCTGTAGTTTTGTCGCTTTGCGTTGCTTTTTCACGTCGAGGACCGTAAGATGACACTGGACACGTTGTGTGGTTATTTCACTGTATCATCTGTGATTTATAAATGCTCGGCCATGACCTGCACCGTCTCACTCGAGTGAACCCGCCCTGAAAACCACAGGACATGAATAACACACGAACAACGTCACATTCCCATCATGCATCTGGTCCGGAGGGCTCTTGCTCTCATAAACCTGCTCCGCCATTAGAAGTTTGTGGAACGGCGCTGTAATTCAAAGTGACTCATCTCTGGATGAATCGAGCTCTTAATGATTCCCTACAGCGGTGCACTTTACAGTTTTCCGGCTCGCTGCGCTCCTGTCCAGCAGTGTGTGTTTACGGCTTCCTCTTCTGTGTGTGTGTGTGTGCTGCTGGGGTTTAACGGTGAGCGTTTGTCCCCTCAGACGCGTAAGAAGAGCCCGGTGATCTCTCCGGATGAGCAGGACGAGCGCAGAGACCCGTCGCCTGAGGGTCGGGAGCGAGAGCGGACGGCTGGGAAACCCACGGATGCGGAAGAGAACTGCAGGGAAACGCGGGATGTGGATTCCGGATATGCCAACTTGGAGAACAAGGTACATATTAGGGCTGTCACGATTCCCTGATTAAATTCGAGTTTTTGATTTAAAAACGATAAATAAAACCTCGATTGCAATTCATCCACGCACGAGAATCCATGAACCGCATTATTAAACCGCTTTCTAAGGCTGCATGATATATTTAAGCCATTTGAAAACCATACTAGAGCATAGTGATGTTATGAATTCACAAAGGCTGCGATTCAATTAAATAAATATGCCCTGTGAGTTTAATATATATGTGCTTTAATTATTTACATGCGTCTCAGAGTGGCTCATGCTCCACACGAGCTGTTATCATTTACATGCGTGGAGCGTCTCATACTTGCTTGCATACAGGAGTAGTTCACAGTAGCTAAAATGAACATTAGCCCATGATTTACTCTCCCTCAAGTCATCCTAGGTGTATATGACTTTCTTCTTTCAGACGAACACAATCAGAGTTATATTAATAAACACGCTGACGCTTCCAAGCTGACTGTGGAAGTTTGAAGCTCATAAAAGTGCATTCATCCATTATAAACGAACTCCACGCGGCTCTGGCGGGATAATAAAGGCCTTCTGAAGCGATGCGTTTGTGTGAGAAAACTTTATAAAGTAAAATAACTAGCTTCCAGCCAAACGAACATACGGATTCTACTTACGTCTAAAGCACAAGTTATGTGAGTAATGCGACGCACTCGATTACCAAAATAAACAAACTTTTCCAAAAACGGTTTCCATGGAAAACCTGGAAGTATGAGAGGGAATTTTAAATTATAAATCAAATTTCTAAATATCCCTTGCTAGGTGTTTAGGGAGCAGTGAACACTCTGTAGGGTCCCTGTGAATGGTGCTTCAGTCCAGTATGAGAGTTTCCTTCATGTGTTTGTGTGTCTACACAGGAGAAACCGCCCGTGTCCCGATCAGCATCCATTAAAGAGTCTCTTCTGAAGAGCGTGACGCTGAACGAGGGCGAGTCGGAGTTTGAAGCGAAGCGTTTGAGTCCGCTGGAGTTTCGCAGGAGTCTGGCCACACAGAACAGGTGCGACTCACTTCACACACACACACAGCGCTTCATAACAGCAGTGCTCACTGCTCTCCGTTGTGTGTGTCAGCTTGCAGACGGCCGTCATGGTACGCGTGGGCACCGAGGAAGAGGAGGATGAGGACGACGAGAAGCCCTCCAGTCAAGAGCAGGACGTGTCCTATGAGCTGACCAATAGCAAGCATGGCACGCTGATGTCAGGTGGGCAGTGAAGATGTGCTCTCGTACTGAAGTCAATCTTTAGTTCTGACTCACTCCATTAAACTGTGATCAAACGCTCTGGGGCGAAAGCAAAGTGTTTAAAGAACCTCTTCCCCCTCAAACCTTCCCATGAGTCCTGCTGCCGCTAACACTGCTGTGTGCTTGTGTGTTCTAGAAGCTTTTTAGTCTATTTGATTTTAGTAAATCATTAGGGATGCACGATGATATCGGGACAACATCGGTATCGACTGATAAAAGCTTAAAATGACCAGCATCGGCCGATATGAATATTTCTGCCGATGAGCCTTGCCGATTGGGTGGCGTGTTTCCTATGCGCACGTGACGACCGTGAACGAAGCATGAGCGCCAGCAACTTAAACTTCCAACTAGGGGTGTGCCGTGCGTCTCACGGTTTTTGATCGTGGACGATTAAAATGTCTCCACGATCTGCTTTTGAAGAAAAATCATAGTATCGTGCATTCTATCAGTTCAATTCTGGCGCCTTCATCTCAACATACTGTACAACGCGACGTACATTCACATCACATCACATGTAAACGCAGAGGTAGAGTTACACTCACGGGACACCGCAATTCACAAAAGTTCATTGTTTGCATGTGCGTCAAAGTCTTGCTAGGTAAACATATCATTCACGTGCTGATACGCTGTTCTAACATCCGCTTTTCTGAGCGCGTTACACCCGACGCTCACAGGAACTAAAGCCTGTCACAGCGCCTGCATACTGGACTAATCTTTCGAGTCTTATTGCGCTGATACTGTCAAATACACACAAGGTTTACATAAACAAGGTTGGTTTTGTCTAAAGTGAAAGCAAACAGAGAAAATCTGCTTGTCAAATGTGTGTAGTAGCCTATATAGACGCGTCGCGTGCAGTTCTTAAAGAGACAGTAATAATATGCCGCTTGTCCTTAAAGAGATACTGCACCCAGAAATAAAAATTCTGTCATTATTTACTCACTCTAATGTTGGTCCAAACCTGTATTCATTTCTTTCTTGTGCTTAAATATACTATGGAAGTCACTGGAGTACAGCAACTGTTTGGTTAGCCACATTCTTCCAAATAACTTTTATTTTCAACAGAAGAAAGAAACTTGAGAGAGTAAATGATGACAATTTAAATTTTTGGGAGAACTATCCCTTTAATGTTAATAAAACAACAAAACAGAGGAAATCACTCACTGCTCTTGACTGAGAACATTAATAGAAGCTTTAATAAGCTTTTTTTGCACTTAAAAAAATACAAATATATCGGTATCGGCATCGGGCAAAATTTGTTTGAAAATATCAGCATATCGAATATCAGCCAAAATCCAATATCGTGCATCCCTATAAATCATATTTATGTATGTATTTATTAAATTATATATAAATATTATATATTCCATAATTTCTGTAACTTTTTAGTGAATCACACTGTATAATAATGTATTTAATATATATATATATATATTTTTTTTTTATATATATATTAAATCATAAATGTGTATCTTAATTTATATATGTATATATCAGGGTTGTTATAGTTAACGAAAACTGAAACAATACAAAACATTTTTGTTACTGCAAACATCATTAACTGAAATAAAATAAAATGTACAAAAAACATATTTTATTTCAACTAGTGGTCAATGCTATATTTTTTTTAATTTCAATGATTTTACTAAAATGTACGAAAATAAAATTGTATAAAAACTATATATAAATTAAAAAGAAATGTCAAAAACATACAAGAAAATTACTAAAACTTTTAGCTAAAATTAAATTTTCTCAATGATACAAAAGTAACACTGGTATAATTTTAAATGAATATCTAAATATAGATATGTGTACATTTTATATATTCATATATTTATTAACTCTTCATAGTCCTCTGGGCGCCTACAGCCGGTACTACTAACACTAAACCTTTTAGTTTTTTTGTATTTTATTTTAGTGAATCATATATTAAATCATATATACATTAATTCTATATTGATTTAAATATTTACATTTGAAATATAACTCTCTGCACTAAACACTAAACCTGTTGTGTATTTTAGTGAACTTGATTTTAGTGAATCAAAAAATAACCAGCATGTCCAGTATATATTTTTGATTGACTAAAACGAAGCGGTTGTGAATAGGAAGTGTTGATTTAGTTCCCTGCTTGAATGTGTCAGTGTGTGATTATTAACCAGCTTGTGTGTGTGTGTGTGTGTGTGCATGCGCTGTGTGTTTTGCAGTGAACAGTGTGTCGACTCCACCCCAATCTCCAAGCTCCTCCTCCTCCCCCCCGCCTCCACCCTCCCCCCCACAGCTGACGGACGGATCTCACTTCATGTGTGTGTGAGAGGAGAGATGGACGAGTAAGAGACACACACACACACACACAGCAGTCTCGCTCACTTCACTACAGACGATCAGAACGGACACTAGCGTCTGCTTTATATACAGTGGTCTCAGTCAGTAATGACTCCAGCAGCGAATCTTTATGATATTGCTCATAAAATCAGTGTGTTTCATAGCAGCTTACACAAGTGTGTGTGTGTGTGTGTGTAATAATCTGTCTGTTCTCCGAGGAAAATGAAGGATCCTCTCAAATGAAGCAGTAATTAGCCTCCCAACTAGAGTTCATTAGCTTCAGTGAGTCTCAGTGAGCATAAAGCTTCACTAATGAACAGTGCAATTAAGAGTCATTCAGACGCCGCTGCACATGATCAGACGCTCACACACACACACATATATATCATGTGCACCATTTAGTAAACCAGGGAACAAATTATTATATCGTGCACAAGATTTTGTAAAATGAGGGAATCAGGGTTTCTGTTGTCCGGTAATTACCAGACATTGGCCGGGAAAAAAATGAAATGTCCGACAAAATTAAATCTCTCCGGTCAAATTGTCCGATTAAAATTGCGTAATAATCCCGCCCCCCTAACACAATATGAATTTATTTGAGAATAAGCCTAAAATGTATAAAGCAAAAATACACCAACTTTTGGCTATGTTATAAAGGAACAGGCTCTACCGTTTGAAAGTTATTAAACAACATCGGAAGCTGCATTTCAAATAAAGCCCACGCCTAAAACGGTTGTAATATAGACCTAAACAACGAACGATTGAGTGAGATGTTTCAAATATGGCCAGGCCCAGGCAGGCTAGTCTTAAAGGAAGACTCCACCGTTTTTAAAAAATTGGGGTTATTCACGGTCTCCCCTACATTTAGGTAGGTGGGCAAATGCATTTTTGGAAGCACAGGCGAAGCACTGCTACTTGGGCGCAGAGATATCACGCAACACCTGAAATAAAGCTTGACACAAAACCGGCGAAAGTAATGATTAGGCCTATGCATGAAACATTTGAATTATTGATAAATTGATAAAGTTGACGATGCAGACTCGCCATCTTCGCAGTAGTGAACGCGCCTATAGAGAGAAGTGTGCACGCGCCGGCGCCTCCGTCCTGATTATAACGTCCACTATATTTGCTTCTTATTTATTAATCCAGGCAAATTTGTTGATGAAACATTGATTAAAATTAAGATACAATTTATACAAAACGAAATTTTCAAGCAAAAATAATATTGGAAGATCGCTGGGTTGATTATTATTCGAAAATCGCACCCCTCCACCACATGCACACACACATGCATTAGGCTACACACCAGAGCATGTGAGCAAAGCGGAGCGGTGTGACCCTTATTATAAGTAAAAAAACTTAAACATACGTTTCATATTTATAAATTATATAATGTTATTATTTTTTTATTTCATCTATGTTGATTAGCCTATATGAAAAGAGAACCGCATGAGATGAGTAAGATAGGATCATAAGATGACCTATATATCGGAAAACATTTGGAATGGGTCAGATTTTGACCACTTATTAAGTTTTGTAAAGCCTTTCTTTAAAGTTTATTTCGTCTTGTATAAATTGTATGTGCTGCTCTATTCGCCTGTCCGCAACGGCGATAGATTGAAACGCGCGTCCGAGTGAAGATTGCGCAACTCGCGCAGCGCGTCGTCCATGCAACTGATAGCAGCGGACACGAGCGCTCAGCTTGATTTCAAAAACAACTGATTTTAGCGCTAGATCTCTTATTTAATAGCGAGCTAAATGAATGATCTGCTAGTTAACTGGAGATGTTTTATTTATTTGTGTTAGGTACATCCGTGCCTCAATGTTTCAAAAAGTGAATGTGTGTGAAACCATAGTAAAAAACAATTGGTGTTGATTGACGCCAATCGGACTTACATGTTTTTTTCCATCTATTTGAAAGTTAGGCTAATAATAACATGTTGCATTCTATACGGCCTGATTATGTCCTTTTTTAAGTTACATAGCCTGCCTCCAGTTTTCCTCAGCTTGACTAATTAAGAGGCGATATTTGACCGGCATTTCATCAAAATGTCCGTTAAACGAAACCTCTGCCGGTCACTTTGACCGGCACCATTTTTTTCTAGCGGAAACTATTTATATACACTACCGTTCAAAAGTTTGGGGTCGGTACGATTTTAAATAGTTTTAAAAGAATTCTCTTCTGCTAACCATGGCTGCGCTTATTTAATTAAAAATACAACAAAAATCAGTTATAGTATTAAATATTATTCCAGTGTAAATCAGCTGTTTTCTGTGTGAATATATAGTAAAGTGTAATTTATTCCTGTGATCAAAGCTGAATTTTCAGCATCACCAGTGTCAGTGTCTTCAGTGTCAAATGATCCTTCACAAATCAGTATAATATGAGGATTTGATGCTCAAGAAACATTTATTATTATTATCAATGTTGAAACAGTTGTTGGTCTGTCAGTTGTACAGTTTTTAGGATTCTTTGATGAATAGGAAGTTCAAAAGAACAGAATTTGTTTGAAATAGAATCTTTTGTAACATTATAAATGTCTTTACTGTCCTTGATAAATAAAAGTATTGATTTCTTTCCTCCAAAAAATAAAAATAAAATTCTCACTGACCCCAAACTTTTGAACGGTAGTGTATATATACAGTATATGTTTGTCCGCGTGTCATGTGCAGCGCTCTGCATTAATACATGCAAGTGTGTAAACTGTGATTTTGTGTGTCCAGCAGCCCCTCCACCGTCATCAGTGACCCGCAGCGTGTGAGGGGACGTCCCACATCATCATCATCATCATCATCATCATCATCAGCTGACCCACACGAACACAGCGACGTCCAGGCCTTAGTTCAACCCATGGGGAAAGGATTGACTTCTAGTGATGATTATTTCTATTGCTACTGTTGAGTTTTCTTCTGTTAGATTGAGTGTAATGTGTGAGCAGGTGCTATTTTGATGTATCACAGCACCCAGACTCACTAAAAACAGGAAGTAGAGACCATAAACACACGCTCACTTTCCTCAAGCTGCCGAGGTTCATCGTTCGCTTGTTTTATATGGATTTTAATCAATCGCTCCCGGTTTTACCTAGTGTTCTCGACGCGATTTTAGTACTCATATCTTTTGCACTGTACGACACCCATCGTTTCTTTTTTGATATCAGACGATTTGTGTATAAACGATGTACAACTGTAAAGGTGCCGATCGACAGGATTTGTAAATGATCTGTATGTTGGATAGTTCGCAATAGCCACCACACTGTTTCCCCGACACACTCATGAATGTTCCAGCTTACGTTTTATTTTTCTATGGCTGAGATATATTTAAATAGAGAGAAGAGTACAGAGTATTACAGTTTAAAGAAGAGTATTACAGAGTTTGGCTTTAGCACATGAGAAGTGGCCGTTTTAAAAGAGTTGAAAAAAGCAATAAGCAGGGTTTGGTGTTTCACTTTAATGTATAAACTGTAAAGTTCATGATGTATATACTGTACACCATACAATGTGCAGAGCGGAGATGCAGAAGAGGTTATGTATCAGAGTCAATATGCAAATGTTCATATTTCATCTGTTTTATATCATGTGAAATAAATGTTGATGTTCTTATATATGCGAAGAGCTTTTGATTCCTTTTTTTCCTCTGATTTGCACAACATTATTGGGTTTTTCATGCACTACCACTATCAAGCCTGGATTTATTTTATCAAAAATACAGAAAAAACTCATGTGAAATATTATTACAATTTAAAAGAACTGTTTTCTGTGTGAATATAGAGTAAATGTAATTTTCAGCATCATTACTCCAGTGTTCAGTGTCACATGATCCTTCAGAAATCATTCTAATGATGATTTATTATCAATGTTGGAAACGGTTGTGCTGCTTAATATTTGAAATTCGCTTCTGCCCGCATGATTTAATTTGATTGGCCATCTCAGTCATTATGAAATCGACGAGCACTTATGTGTGTAAATTAATCAAGTGTGACCTGTTCATCCATTACATTTATTGATGTATCGTCTTATTCAAAGCAAGAATAATGGAATAATTCCACGAATAATGATGAAGTGTAAAATCATCCGTGTTAATTAATCACCTATTTAACTCGGTGTTTTGGCACCATCTGGTGGTTGGATGCAGTATTGCAACACAATATGACTAATGGCGCCCTCTGCTGGTCATGATGTGTAAAACAAATGCTTTCTAATGCTGAGTGTTTCATAAATGTTCAGTAATAATGAAACATTAATGTTGTGAAAATATTTAGTTTTGGCCTCGAATCACAAGCAATGCATGATTTGCATGAAAAACTGAGGATCTGGATTTTGATTCCAGTGTGTAAAATCCAACCAACAGGAAACTGACGCCATCTAGTGATGATTTCCAGGAAGAGACTCGTGATATTTTCCAGTTTTTAACCATAGACTGTAAAAAAAAACTTTTAACTAGATTCGTGTGGTAATGCGGTAAACACGCCCAACAATAAGACCGGAATCAGATAAAAACATGATTCTTCCGCTGGAGTTTCATCTTATCACACGGGTTTATTTATTTACTAACACGAGTTTCATCTTATCACACGGGTTTATTTATTTATTTACTAACACATACTCCTCACATTTTAATTTTATAGTAACGTATTTCTATAATGTTAAATATCAAATATTTCTACAAACATTTTAATTAAATGTCACGTGGTGTAACCATCGAGTACAAAAATCGTAAATACGTTGTGAATGTACAACGTAAACTTTTTTTTTTTAATTTCCAAACGTACTCAAGGAAAATATATATTTTTACAAATATATTCTCAGCCTTTTAATTCGATCATTACCGGTATATATCCGTTTCAGAAAAAAAAATGTACGACTATAAATTAATGAATCTAGACAAATTTTATTTAAATTCTTGTTTTTATTTTTTATTCAACCATATTTTCGAGGAAACGTTCAAATAACGACGGAAATTTAGATTTGCATCTTAAAAGTATCTTTATGGTGTTTTATAACACCAATGCTGTCTTAAAGAAATGAGGGTAAATAAATATAAAAGGATTTTGAGATTAAGACCTCATTTTGAATTAAAATTAACAATATTACAAGGTCAGTCAGACATTAAATAATTAAAACTTTGCAACTTCATTTTGGATATTTGGTGTTGCGAGCACGTGGAGGCACTCATAATAAGCGCTGACGTCACGCTCGCTCCTCCCCGCGCGTCCCCGATCAACCTCCAGTTCCACGATCCGTCCGGTTGCCGAAAGTCTTCGCGTTTCACCCGTTTCCCGTCGCTTAAACCCGGCCAGACCGCAAGCACACGAGCGGAACCCGATGGCTTCGACGACTTCTGACGGTTTCGAGCAAGAGTCGGCCAACCAGAGCGAACAAAACGGCGATGGGAGCGAGTCGGGCCTGCGCGCCGCCGATCCGGAACCGGCCGTTAAGATGGACGGAGTGCAGACGGACGAGAAGCTAAACGGACACCAGTCTACCGAACAAAGCCCGGTGGAAACCACGCGGGAAGACGGCGGTAACGACGAGGATGTCGAGACGGAAGCGGAGCCGGAGAAAGAGCCGCAGAAGAGCCCCGGTAGCGCAGACGGGACGGTGGAGCAGATAAAAGGAGAACAAAGAGGGGATGAAAATGCGTCTTCACCGGCGGAGAAAAACGTCAGCGGCGCCGGCGGAGGATTGAAGAGGCGCGCGAGCCTGGAGATGATGAGCTCGTCGTCGGACGGAGAACCGCTCAGCCGCATGGACTCGGAGGACAGGTGTGTGTGTGTGTGTGTGTGTGTGTGTGTGTGTGTGAGAACCCATCACCCGAATTATTTGTCGTTTAATATTAGTTCTGGTGATAAATCACGCCTTTCGCGCGCTGTTTAGATCATTACTCCACTCTCTCAAGCGAGAAATGTGTTGCTGAACAATTAGAGAGGATCACAAATCACAAAACAAATCAATTATGGCATAAATAACACAATTATTAATTATTATTAGTAAGGAGTAAAGTGTAGTCTCTAATGAACGTTTATTACTATGTTCTAAAAGCAGAAATGCAACAAATAATATCTATTCTGCAAATCAGTTGTCATACACTTGAAAATATTGTGTAGGCTATGTCATAAACCCAAATGTACGTGTCTGATAAACATAGGTTTATGTCTAATGTCAAAAAGCAGAAATAAAACCATTAAAATTGTTTCTGTGTATCAGTTATTAAAGTAGTGAGCATATTAACTATCAATATTTAAGTCTCTTCTCATTGCTATTATTAGTTTTATTCATGCAGAGTTGTTTTGTAATCTAAATGGTTGCTTGTGTATTTATAAGCTTCATTTATCACACTGAAAATGGCAAAGTCGTCGGTTAATTATTGAAACAAAACTCATTTCATAAGTTACTTCACCTACAAGAACGGTTGTTGGGCGTTTGTCTTTAGAAACCCAAAACAAAAACATCAAAATTGGTTCTGGATTTACTTGAACAACTGTAAAAAGGCCTGTCCACACCTAGGACGATAACTATAACGATAAAGATATCGTTCTGAAAATCGTTGTAAATGTAAAAGAATAGCAGAGTTCACATAAAAAATATAACAATAACGGCACGGAGGAACGATTTCGTATCACTTTCAGAGCGATAAAAACATTTTCCAGCTGATGAACGATAAAAACATTGACAGCCAATCAGAATTCAGCTTGAGCATTTAAAGCAGCAAACAGCACTTTACAGAGCGATATGTTACTTATTTGTGTAGTGATTGTACTTGATGTGAACAGGTTTTAGCTCTGTGTTTGCATCGACCATGGAAAATATCAATCTGTCAACAATCCCAGGTGTATATGAACCTTATTTCTGAGTCTCTTGGCACCGCAGTAACTCATTATCCCAGAGTTTATTTGTTCACAGCAGTAATCCTTCATAGAAACACAAGAGGAGATGTTAGTCAGAATGACTGGGTGAACGTTCACCTTCCGTGTATAGAAGAAAGATCCAATGAAAGTGAAATGTTTAGCCTCAGCCATTTCAGAACGATTAAAGCTTATCACAATCAGTTATTTGTCAAGTCATCTTACCTTTATTTTTAATAGCACTTTGTACAAAAGCAAGGATTTCAAAGCAGCGTCACAGTAATGAACAGGAAAGTAACAGAAAGAATTAATAATGCAAACTTATTAAGTATTAAAGAGTTCAAATTCCGCTGTAAATCACCTGTAATGTCATTATTCAGTTCAATAAGTGTAAAGTTCATTAATTATGAAACAAGTTTGATTCAGACTATACTAGTGTCGTTATTCAGCCCGAGTGGTTCAGTTCAGTTCAATAACGTGTGGATGTTGCAAACTTTATCAGTTTGAAAAAAGTTGCTTCATTTATAAAGCAGAAGACAATAGTGTGATTTATTCAGTTCAAGTTTTGTTCTCATGTGATACAGTCAGTGCAGTTAAATCAGTATTTTTGGATAATATCCATCAGTTTAAATCAGTCACAGCATCAGGCCTTGGTTTCTCTGGAAGTTGACGTCGGCCTGGTTTTGTGACTGCCTTCCTTATCAAACCGAATGCATATTGCTTTGAACTGGTTTTACGCTGCGAACCATGAGACCTTTCGCCATCTTTCCACATCCCCAGGGTGACATGGGTGTGTTTGTGCCAGTGTTTAATGGCACTCATCATACTAGGGTGGCTCTTTTATTATTTGTATTACTCTAAAGGCAGGAGGATATGTATTCCTCATCCTCCATGGGGTTTCGAGTGTGCTGGTCGACGGCCTGGCTCACACACACACACACACACACACACACACACACACACACACACACACACACACACACACACACACACACACACACAGCACATGGGAAATCTCCATAGAGGATCTGCAGGCACGGTGGAACGAATCACAGTGAGCACAATGTATCAGGTCAGCCCAGCGGTGGAGGCTGGAGAAAGAGGGAATGTGTGTGTGGATGGGAATCCCTGCTCTGTGCCAGACGTGCTGTTTTCGTTGAGCTTTTGGTGGGAATAAAGCTCTTAAGATCCGAGTGGAGGCCCTGAGCCCTGCTGTTCGGCCAGCTGGAGGGGTTGAATGTAACTTTTGTGCGGGACATCTGGGAGAGTATGACCCAGACCACACGACAACTGACAGATAAGACTAAAGTCATGCCTTTATAGTGTAGCTTTTGGAAATGTTTGTTCATTGTCTTCAGATCCACAAGTAGCCCAGGTTATTCATCACAACAAGTCATATTGATGATAAATGGTTTTGTTATTTAGCTGATGGTTTAGTAATTCTTTACAATAAGGTTCAATTTATTAACATTAATGTTAACTAACAATTGAAAATACTTAGCATTTATTAATCCATTTCATTATTTACTAATATACTATGAATCAAAAGTTGTCTGTTGATGTTATTTAATTGACCTGAACTAATAATGAACAGTTGTATTATTAATAACAAACATTAATAAATAGTGTAACAAAAATATTCCTTAATTAATGCATTAAGTATTGCATTAAGAATTGATAAGAATGTAAATCTGTGAACCTTGAAATGCAATGTAAGTCGCTTTGGATAAAAGCGTCTGCCAAATGCATAAAAGTAAATG